CTTCTCTACATCTGCACATTGCTCACTCTGGTGATTAAAATTGCTGCACTAAGCCTTATATGTTAGGAGAAAAATAACTTTTCTGAAGTGCACAAAGCTAGCGGTATCCCAGTTGTTTGGTCAACTTAGCAGCAAAATAAATGGATATCTGCTAGATGCCCTTTTTGTGCCACTTAAGGGCTATGCATGCAATCCTTAGGTTTGTGGTTATCCATAGAAACTATTTGTATGGATATTTAGTTACGCTGAACCAACAGTTTGCATTTGTATCAGAAAACAGTTCAGTGGATGTGCTTAATCATGATTTGAGCTCATGTAACTACAACCAGCAGTCTTGAATCCAGACGGTTAGCCCAGATGGAAAATTTAAGTGGATAACTCTGTACGTAAGGTTCATGTGTCTGCTCAGGATCCCCAGGTACAGGCCAAGATTAACTATGCACAAAATGCAGTGAGAATAACTTTTAGCAGGTCTTTTGCAATGTGATGAGTGAAAGTGATTAAACTATCAAACAGCGTGTATGTAAAATACAATGGCAGGGCCTATGTATTTGAATTCCTCATTGCCATATTGTGAATTATACCAGTATGAACAACAGAGAGCCGAAAAATACAAACAAGCTACTAGAGGTCTGGCAAAGTGAAAAGGATTATTTGCCTTGTTTCTAATCTAGGCATGTGCAGGCAGTATGCCACCCTCTTGACAATCTAAACTTTAAAATCTGTGTGATGAGCTGTAGCTTGGCAGCCACAAAAATTCTTAGTCTACATATTTTGATGTAAGTATACTACTATATTGTAGCTATGTGGTATATGCTGATATGTTAATAGTGTATACCTTTAAGTTAGGATTTGCTAATGTAATACATTTCAATAAAAATCTATTTAAAAACAGCCTGTGCCTGCTTAATGGTGTTCCATTGCTCTGTATATGTGAGAATTTCACTGCCTGGCAAATCCCAGTGCACAACTGGTGAGACAATCTGAGATACCTGTTCTCCAGTGTTTCAAGAAAATGGATAAAATCTTCGGCACACAGAAAATTATCTTCTAGGTATCTCAGACGGCTCTTTGTGCATTTTATTTCCTGTTTTACTTAGATATCATGTGACCACATGGCAGATAAGGAACCAGTGGACAAATTAAAAGTAAGCTCATCTGCCTGATTCTCATCTCATGATACTTCACAAACTGTACTTTCACATAGTCAATTTTGTGTTCTGTGGTGTTCAGCAATTTTACAGCAGGCAGTTAAGAAGAATAGTAAGGCAAGATAATATAGGAAGAAGGTGCAATCCCTAAATCTTAAGGTCTAACTCTTGTCTATAGACCACTAGTGGTCTATGAGCCTCATTCAGGCATGTCTGTGGATTTGTGGCTGAAGACTGGAGATGGCACAGCCATTAATTTGATTTTAATATTTATTGTAAATATTTTAATTCTATGGAATTAAAATGGTAATACACTAAAAATAAAAGCAATGAAATTTAGCACATCTAGTACATTGCATTACAGTTGTTACAATAGAATTATTAAATGGTCCGCTAAGACCCTATTTAGCAATATTTTAAGTGTTCCATGGAGGGTGGGGTGAGTTGGGAACCTCTGACCTAAGGTATCTCATACCTAAGCAGTTTAGGACTTTAACGGGAATCACCAACACTTTGAATTGAGCTCAGAAGCAAATTGGAACCAGTGCATTTATGTCATGCAGTCATTGTCTCAGTAGGCTTAAAACAAATGGCAGCTAATATTTATTCAGGAAAAGGGCAGAGGGCAGAAAGAGACCAATTCTGGTACTGCATAGCTAGAGATAGGAACAGGACTGCATATTAAGCCCAAGATTTGTGGCTTTTGCCAATATGCAACATAGAATATAATTTAAATGTTTTCTCCTATTTTATCAGGGATAGTGAATAGCTTAGTGCATCCCAAGGGAGTTGTTTAATCCAGTGTTTCCCAAACTTTTTTGGGCAACGGCACACCTGTTTACTGAAAAAAAATCTCGCGGCACACCACCATTAAAGCCCCGCCCCGTGACGTCAGCGCGCAGCGTCACGCCGGGAGGGACGCACGAAAGTGAAAGTTTTTTCACTCCCCCTTGCCGGGGAACCTCCAAGCTTTGGGGGTGGGAGGAGGCAGCAGAGCGAGGGACTGAGGGACGGCGGCAACTGAGGCGGCGGCGGCTGTGGTGGTGGTGGCGGCGATAGCGGGCGGAGGAGGGGGCGGCGGCGGGGCTTGAGGAGCCGTCGCCGGGAGTTGCTGCTGCTGTTGTTGCTGCTGCTGCCCGGACATGCCGGCCTCCTCCTCCTCCGCTGTCTCGCGCTCCTCCCTTTTGCACGCGCTGCCCCGCCGCTCGGCACCACCACCGCGGAGCCACCCCCGGCTTGACGCGGATCCTCGCCGCCGCCGCCTCTCACCGCCCGACTCGCCCGCCTCCTTCCCACGGCACACCAGCCAATGTCTCACGGCACAGTAGTGTGCCGCGGAACACCGGTTGGGAAACACTGGTTTAATCCACCTACTGCTTTGTTTTGTGAATTGCCCTGACAAATGCAGTCATTCTGGCAGAGAGACATTTAAGTGAACACTAGGCATTTCAGAAGATTTATCCATGCCTTTTGTAAGTTAGCTTCAGAAAAACAAGGTGAGCAATCCTTTGTGCTTCAAGAATTGTAATAAGCACTAAAATAAAATGGGTTGTTGCAGCTCAGGAATGTTGTGGAGAAGTAACTGTGTAGGTGCCACTACATTCAGAAGAATGAGAACTTATTAATAGAAATTGCAGTGCTCTAAAACAGGTAATGTGGTAAAATAATCTCGTCTCAGTTGTTCAGCAGGGAATTGCTTCTCCTATGGCATCAGACATTGACTCTAATTCAGCACAAACCATGCTAACCCTTTATTGTTGTTGTTTAGTCGTGTCCCAACTCTTCATGACCCCATGGACCAGAGCACGCCAGGCACCTCTATCCTCCACCGCCTCCCGCAGTTCGGTCAAACTCATGCTAGTAGCTTCGAGAACCCTATCCAACCATCTTGTCCTCTGTCGTCCCCTTCTCCTTGTGCCCTCTATCTTTCCCAACATCAGGGTCTTTTCCAGGGAGTCTTCTCTTCTCATGAGGTGGCCAAAGTATTGGAGCCTTTATTATTATTATTGAACCCTTTATTATTATTACTATTTATTATTATTTAGCTGCCCATGCTACTGATGGGGATGATTGCAACAACAGCTTCTTGCTGTCAGAGCAGCAGTGGTGGTAAGGGAAAAGGTACCTTCCTGTTCCATGAGTGTTTCCTATATAATATTTATTTATTTAGTTATGCAGTGGTGGGAGGGGTGCTGGCACATCAAAGATGGTCACAGTCACAGACAGGTCATTGGATGGAATCAACTTTCATTTCAGTCCTGTCTTCATTGCTAAATGAAACCTGGTGGTTTCCAGTTCTCAAGCCAGTCATGTGGTTAGTTTTGGGCAGTGCCAAACTAGCACACCACCACACAGTGCCTTTTGTAGTAGTGTGCCAAAACCTTAATGCTGCCTGCGGCAGTGAATGAGCTCAAGTGGCAATGGTGCTGTATTTGTGGTCAAGAAGGAATTTTCCCTCAGATCAGATTGCCTTGTGCCTCTGGGAATATTTATTCATTTTGCCTTCCCAGGTTTTGAACGCATGAAGCTCAGGTGTATGAGACATTATTCTAGAGCAGCAATGTCTCTGCTGTTTGCTGGGCCTTTAATTCCTATTATTCCTGTTAAAGAAGCAAGGGCCCAGGCAAAGAGGTGATGGCCCTATTCTACAACTATTTCCTGTACCCTTTCCAGCTCCTCTGTCAGATGATTTGTGATTATTTTTAGCCTGATTATGGAAAGATGACTGCTTTCCAGTTGTGACTCCATATGCTCTAATTGCCTCTATTTAACCAAGGATGGTTCTGATTTTCTGATACCAGTTCCTTATAAACCACTTATTTCTGCCTTTCAGATATTCACAACATCTTTTAAAAATATTTTTGTTAGCATGAGTTGATAGCTCTCTTCAGATGTTCAACTCCATGTCCAGGATCTCTAGAAGTTCCATCCACCACCACCCTTGATGGCACAATCTGACATACCTACTCAGAATTAAGTCCCATTGAGTTCAGTGCCACTTACTACTAAGTACGTGCATTTGGTCTCCTGTTTTTATCCTTGTAAATGTATGCCCACAAGCAGTGAGGTTCTACACATGCATTACCTACTATTTCAGATGGCTGAGGCCCATGTTGAGCTCCTTGTGGAATGACAATATGTTTTCTAAAATACCTTTAACCCAAAGAACCACCATCTTCCTGTCCTTTAAAAAACAGTGCAGCACAAGCCTGTTGAACAACAAATGGATTTGGCATGCACTGCTGGAGTGGGACCTTCAGCCGTGTGAAATGGGGATGGGACATTCTCAGGTGTCAGAAGACTGGTTTAAAAGTGGGTTCCTATTATCATGTGAAGAAATGACTGGGGTTGCCTATGATACTCAGCGCTGGTCCTGCCATTAGCAGAGCGAGGCGGAGACCCCAACTAGCGGTAGGGAGAAACAGCAGGGTATTTGCCTTTCTCTGCGGGGTCACACAGCTTTGCTCACCGCATGACACACTCGCCAGGTGCAACGGGGATTGACGGTGCCACTCTAGACAGGTCTCCTCATGAGAAGGCCCCACTGACTTCAGAGGGGAGGGGGTGTTACTCCCAGGTCGAAGGGGTATAGCAGCAATGCAGCCCCACTTCCCCAATGTGTGCGTTGGACCGTGTAGCCACAGGGCGACGACCGCCGTGGTTTTAGGCGGCTTGGGAAGAGGCTGGACTCGGCTCAGCCTCGCACTGAGCGGGACGACGACGACAAAAAAAAATATGGCCGCTTTCCCTGCGCCGCGGTGCGCCAGCCACGCCGCTAGAGGGCGCAGTAGGCAGGCAACAGCTCCTCCGGGCTCGGTCCGCGACGTGCGTAGCCCCCGTGACCCACCTGTGACTGTCGGGCCGGCCCCGGTTCGGAGACGGCGGAGTGTGCCCGGGTGGCGGCGGCGGCAGTGGCGCCGCAGCGGCAACGGCCCCGCTATGTGGCTGGGCCCGGAGGAGGTGCTGCTGGCCAACGCGCTGTGGGTGACGGAGCGGGCCAACCCCTTCTTCCTCCTGCAGCGGCGGCGGGGCCACGGCAAGGGGGGCGGCCTGACGGGTGAGTGCTGGAGCCGCCGGTCGCCAGCTGGGCGAGGAGGAGTTGGAAGAGGGGAGTCCATCGGCCGCCGCCGCCGCCGCCCAGGGCCTCGCGGGCAGCAGAGGCGCTGCTGGGAAGGCCTCTCGGGGAGAGAATGGGCCCAATCAGGGCAGCGCCCCAAAGCGCCTTCGCAGCCGCAAGCTGCCCCTCATCCCTCGCTTTAAAACGCACAGCGAGCCGGGCCTCTTCGCCCAGGGCCGCTGCGGTTTGCGGGTGTCAGGTCCAGTGCCCCCCCCCCTCCATCCAGCCAAGTAGTTGGCTAGTGGCATCGCCCGTTGCCCTGGGTGTCTCGACCTCCCCACCCTTTCTCCAGGTGGACCAGAGAGGATGCTTCTGGGTGCTGAACGGGTTTGGTCCTGCCCTGGGTGAAGGTGCCTGTGCGCAAAAGCACCGACACTGGTTTCCCCTTTCTCCCAAGGCTTTCAAATCAGCAGGCTCTTCTTGACTTGGGATCCCGCCCCGCCCCAACCACCAACACAGGTGAAATTTGGGGGATACGTGCCATGTAAATATGTATATCTGAAGGTGCCCCTCCCGTGTGTGCCAATAAAATACAGAGGAGGGGCTCTGTGGAGTTTCGCAACGTCTGACGTGGGGAAGAAACAAAACAAACGAAAAACATTGTTGAAAGGCTTTTTTTTAATTAATACATCACTTGCATATTTTCATTTGGTAAATAATATGTCGGCACTGAAACATTTTACTTTAGAGCTTTGTAGAATATGTGCACAGTTTTAAAGGATTTCAGTGTAAACAAGGGAGCTAATTATTTTGCTTTTTAGAGGCTGACACGCTAATCCACATTATTTCAGCAGCTTAGTATTACACTTGTAACATTTGTGGTCGTTTTAAACTATAAAAGCTAATTTCAAGTAAAATTCCCGTATGCCAGTAGCATACCCACTCATTCGCTTGGCTCCCAGAGACAAGCTGAATTTATTCACATTATATGCAGTACATCTGCACTGCAGATTCTTGAAGGCCCAATGCAGAGCAGCTCTGTGAATTGCTGCATATCTGTTTAGCATGTATTTGTATTATAGATAAATTTGGTTCCAATACAGTAAGTGTTGCCTATGTAAACACAGGAATGGCATTGCTGTGGTGTTGTTTTCTGTCACAGTCTTCCTGCAAAAGTATACTTTTTTGTGTTATCATTTCATTTGCCTCAACAAAAGTTAATCTCTATAGGACAGTGCAGACAATAGATTGGGTCCAGACTAAGACTGCAGTCCTATATCCACTTACCTAACAGTAAGTCCCATTGAACTCAGTGTGACTTACTTCTGAGTAATACATAGGTTTGCACTGTGTTGGTTGTTGAATCAATAAGTCACAACTAATTTATCCCACAGATTTCAGTGGTACCTAAGTTCATGCCTAATTGTGAATTTTGCTTGTTGAATATGCTTGGATCTGGTAATTTGTTTGATATGGGCAGAAGAAGCTAGTGATCTTACACACATGATATGTGATATGTATGTGGTAGAGGTAGCTGTATCTTTGCGGCTGCAAATCTTGCGAAAGTCTGCAAAATGCTTATATATAGTGGCATTTCAGGTATTTCAGCTGCTATCTCCCTAGCATGAAGCTGGTTAGTCCTAACAGTACTTTGCATAAGAAGGGATATTTCATCAGGTTCTTTCCCTCATGTCATAAGTGCTTCAAGCATTGCAAATTCCCACATATATGCGTACAGGCCGCATACAGGCCTCTTAATATAGAAAGAGAGATTAAGCCAAAAACATTCAGTTGGTAATGTGGCAATAAAATGCTAACATTTCTCTTATCAGGAGAAAATGTTCATATACATGTGCGTGTTGTTTTCTCAAACAGTGTTTTAAAAGATCCCAGTTTATCTCACCACACAGACTATCTATCTATCCATTTAGAAAAGTAGTGCATGTATAATGAATATTTGTTATAAAAAGATTTATTAAAATAAAGTTGCCATTCAGGAAATACAATTTGCCTAGCACTCAAAATAGTTTTGCTCCTGAGAACATGTGATTTCCCTCCCTCCTCTGGTTTCATTTCACTAGTTAGTTACAGAAGTGTCCATAACACATTTTAAACAGAGTCTGTGACATCACTGATAATGTGCTGTGAACCGCCCTGAGATCTACGGGCATAGGGAGGTATAATAATAATAATAATAATAATAATAATAATAGGTAACGAACAACAAAAGTCTTCCCTCCCAGTGTCTATGTCATTTTGTTAAAGTTTTAATATATTCTGGAAAGAAAGAAAGAAAGCTTGTGGAATTCCTTGAATCTCTTAAGAAATTGAAGAGTATTCCGTATGCAGTCAGCATCTACAGTGTAAAGGGACTTTGATAGCATTTTCTTTTTCTTTGTAAAATTGCAAACACATTAAAAACAACAACAACACCCTGCTCTTCAGGAGCTCGTTCTTGGAGCTTGCGGCAGGGACTGGCCCTACTTAGGAAGTCCTAAGGGGAGTTTCACAGCCAGGCTTGTGTTTGTTGCCAAATTTAAATCACTGGTTTATGCATTGGAATTCTTTGTTTATTTTACAAGCAAATGAAACTTGCTTTCCATAAGTTTATGTACATATTCTCGCTGTTACTGAAAGTTGACCCTCCCCAAGCTGGACAACACAACAGAACTCCTGTAGCTCAGCATTCTGCCACAGGTATACCTTGGCTTGCTCTGTGTTGGAATGCACAGAGAATGGCCTCTATTATGAAGTAAACATCATGTCCAGAGTTTGGACAAGCTATCTAGGAAGAATTGTATCTTGGGCTACACATGCACCAGATTTCAGCTTTGTGGGTGGTCTAGCAATACTGTGAACATTTTGAAATACACATATAAGGTTGTCATGTTCCAGTAAAAGCATAAAAGTCTATTGTTGCGTCTGTATGTGATTTCTTGTGGCATAAGCTTTTGTGTACTTAACCAGATGCATGGTATCATTTGGGTAGGGTGTGTGAGAGAGACTGAAAGAGAAAATGGGAACAGAAATGGCCTTGAAGTGCAAACTACTCAAATTTTTTAGATTGTTTGTGTCAAGTTTAAACTTTTGGGGTGGCCTGAGCATCTTTATAAATTAATAAATTTATAATTTACCATATTGAAAATAACTTCTAACAATCCTCAACAAATCTTAATTATATAAAAAAATCATAGATTAAATATACAGATCTTGCATACTTTGTAAAAACTTAGTTTTATCATCTTGGAAAAACAAGCAGTTATTTGTTGTCTTGCCCCTCCCCACAACTAAATGACACAAATAGGAATGCCCTGCATCATTTATGGAAGATACTCAGGATATGAAATTATTAAATCCCTAAAGGAAGAGAGTTCTAGTTCTAAAGGGATGCATCACTGAGAGTGCCTCCCTACATGCACGTCTCTGTTGTTTGGACGTGGTATATACAAAGTATATTTAAGAGGATATTCTCAGCTTCTCTTGGAGACTCCAACTTCTTTTCAGGTACACAGTGCCAATTGGAAAGCTAATGCATTAGCTTAACTTCCTTCAATATTTCATTGGCAATGATATACTGTCAGTATAATTCTGTACCCACTCACCATCACATAATTCTTTCTAGTCTTTCTCCACTCAGAAAATGTGCAACAGGCCTAACACTGTGTAAAATAGTAAATAACATTACCGCTTACAGCATTCTGAAGACATTTGCGAAGAAGCTTCAAGTATGCTATTCTAACACTGCATTAAACCCAGTTTTGATGCTGTATAAATTTCAGTTCTCCTTCAGCTGTTGTGCCTCAGTGTTCCTTTCCCTGTTAAGAATCCATTGTTTTAGTGACTCTGCTTTTCACATGTTTGTGAAACCTCAGTCTCTCCTTAATGTGCAAAGTGTGGTTTGTGCTTGCCCTTCAGATCAGGATTGGAAACTATGGATTGACCTTTGTTATTCCCAATTTTGGTTTGAAGGGAAAGCACAAACCATAGTTTGGACAAGTAGAAAACTATGATTTGCCACAACCCCAAAAAGAAAGTGGAATTTCCCCATGCACAAGGGGCATGGTTTAGCATTGTGTCTGAACCAAGCATTTCAGACAGTTGCTTTATCTGTGTGTTTTTTAAAAAGTGGGGTGGCTTAAACAACCTAAGATGAGCATGGGGATGATAGAACAACTCCCCTAAGAGGAAAGGTTACAACATTTGGGACTTCAGTTCAGAGAAAAGGCAGCATGATAGGGGTGTATAAAATTATGCATGGTGTGGAGAAGGTGAACACAGAGTTTTTTTTATTCCTCCCTCATAATACTGGAACTCAGAGACATCCAGTGAAACTGTTGGAGACAGTATGCCCTGAATACCAGTTGCCGTTCATGGCAGGTGGGATGAATGCTGTAGTGCTTAGGTCCTGTTTGCGGGCTTCCCTTGGGCATCTGCTTAGGCACTCTTAAGAAGAATGTTGGAGTAGACGGGCCTTTTGTCTGATTCAGTAGACCCTTCTTGGGATCTCACATCCTTTATAAACTTTTGTATCAATAAACACTTTATTTTAAATCACCCCACCATTTATTTCACTCTCTCATTTGCTCAGATCATATTCATTATGTTTCTCTCTGTATCTTGGTCTTCTTAGGGCTGCTTGTGGGAACCTTGGATGTGGTTTTGGACTCAAGCGCTAGGGTTGCTCCTTACAGAATTTTACATCAGACACAGGATTCTCAAATCTATTGGGCAGTGGCATGTGGTGAGTAAATACCATTCTATAACAAATAAATTCTGCCAGTGTATGATTGCTGTCCCCCACAGCCAGCTTTTAAATGCTCTTTAACTACAATATCCTCAAAAGGATTTTTGAGCAGTTCAAGTGTTCTTCAGAGGCACATTCTGAAAAGTTTAGAAAAATCTGGGTGTACATGTGGACCATGGTTGCGAAACTGGATTATGGCCATTTTACTCAAAAGTTTTAATCCATTATTCTATAATTGTATCAGGTGGAATAGAAAAAAACCCTGATTGTCCAGGATCTGTTCAAAACCAATTGGCTGATAGCAAGCAAATTTGTGTGAAGTAGAGGGTGGGCTGGCGGGGAGCTAGCAGAGGTATATTAAGTAAATACTGGCTATCTAATTTAACCAGTAGTAGAAAGTATTTAACCTTCTATTCCTTATATTAAATTTTAAGTGGCGAAGTTACAGTTAAACCATAAAAGAACAACATCTCCCACCCCACCCCAAAAATACAGATAGAGAAACAGCAGGAAGCATGATTACCATAATCCTTCAAAAAACCTGGGAGAAGAGTACATCCGATCCTGGTGCTAAAAGGATATTGATGCTGGTGCCAGGCAGGCTTTACAGAAGAGAGTATTCAATAAATTGGAGGGAGGGTAATTGAAATGCTCACTGAACATTTCTCATAGAGAGCACCTAGAGAAAAGCCTCGGCTGCAGTATGCATGTTCCAGTCAGGAGATGTGTTCCATTAGATATTGGTGTCTTGACCTGTATGTGGCTTGGTATGTTAAAACCAGCACTTTGAATTGAGCTTCAAAAAATATACATAGCCACTGTCATTTTGCCAGAACTGGTGATGTGATCAGATAGCTACATGTCCATCAGCAGCCTCGCTGCTGCATTATGCACCAGCTGCAGTTTTCTAGCCATCGTCAGAGGCAGCCCCACATACACCACATTGCAGTAATCTAATCTAGAGGTTTCTAGATTACAGATTACTGACACTGGATTATCCCTTTCCATGGAAGGAACATAGCTAGACCACCAAGCCAAAAGCTAATAGAAGGCACTCCATGCTACTGGAGCCACTTCTGTCCCCAGTGATAGTAGTGGATCCAAGAGAACCCCCAAACTATTGACCTGCTCCTTATAGTAGCTGTTATCTGATTGTTTCTGAATTTCTCTTTAGGTTCATCGCGTAAGGAAATAACAAAACACTGGGAATGGCTAGAAAATAACCTGCTTCAGACACTTTCTATCTTTGACAATGAAGAAGATATCACTACCTTTGTCAAGGGCAAGATACATGTAAGTGGCACCTATTTGTCATGGAACTTTTCCAGTTTTTTAGCAACAGAATGGCAATCCATAAGAACTGCAGGCTGTGAATTGTTACATAAAGCTGGATGTAGGACAAATATTTGCCGCCTATGAAAGAGCCACCTATCTAGAGTGTTTTCGTTTCACCTAGAACAATAAAATAGGCTGACTAGTTTAACATTCTACCATATAGTTAAAGATCAACACTATGATTGTGCTTGAGCCAAGGTTCAGTTTGAACAGACTTCCATATATTTTCATCTATCCTTGCTTGGGCAAGGATATATACGCTGTTGCTACTTTCCGTGTGGAAGTATTTTTTCTGCCTTCTATTGCAGTTGTACTCCTTCACTGCCTGCATGATTTTCTTTACAGTAGGTTTGGCACTTGAGGCTTAAACCAGTGCTCTCATTAGACATGGTGAGCCCTTTCTCTTAGTGAGACATTGCGGCCCCAGAGGGTGCTACTTTAAAAGTGTTAAACTTTACTGCACAATGACTTTAGTGCACAATGACGGCACAGGCACTCGCTAGGTCACACATGGGGAGCCTTTGGCAGCAATGGGGCTCAACGTGCTGGTGGAAGAGGCAGTGTCTCAAAAGAGCACCATGCTTTTAGCCAGCCCTGATTTAAAACTTTGCATGCAGTCAGCGTAAAGCAAATAAACATAAACAACTTTTGAAGGAAGTTCACACAACATTGGGTGCCTTGTCACAAATGTTACTGGCAGTATTCAATATGCATATGTGCATTGGCACAACCATTCAACAAGCACAGTAGTCGTGGATGAGCTATCACATATTTCAGAGTACAGTGCAGATATATATATATTTTCAGTCTTTCGATCAGGTGTGAGGAACCCCTGGCCCTCCAGATGCCGCCCAATGACAGACATTGAACTTTGAGTGTTTGGAAATTATAGTATATCCACCCAGAAGCATAACCTCAAGTGGTACACTTGTCAGCTGTGCATAGCAAATAAATAATGCAACAAAGAATTGTAGAGGCCATTATGTTTTCATCTGCTACTTTTGCTACTCCTTCCTGCAGGGCATTATTGCTGAAGAAAATAAGAATCAGCAGCCTCAGGGGGAAGAAGATCCTGGTAAATTTAAAGAAGCTGAACTGAAGATGCGTAAACAGTTCGGAATGCCTGAAGTAGAGAAACTAGTGAATTACTATTCCTGCAGCTATTGGAAAGGGCGTGTCCCTAGGCAAGGCTGGCTGTATCTGACTGTTAATCACCTTTGTTTCTATTCTTTCCTTTTAGGCAAAGAAGGTAAGTGGTCAGCTGCTTAATGTTGTTTTGTCCAACACTTCTAACTGCCCTTTTTAAAGGTGGTTTCATATCTGGTTGTACATCCATATTGTCTTAATAGTGAGGCTCAGTTGGGGCAGTGGAAGAATTGGTACTCCAGAAAGGAGGGGAGGTTGCACTCCTGTTGTTGTTTTTAGTGATATTTAAGCAATCAGCAGCCCTACATCCATGCTGCAGCCCCCAAATATTATTTGAACAACATTTGTAAAATATTTTGCAGGGCTTCCTTCCCAATCTGTTTTCTTTCTGCTTAAGTACTTCGCTGAGTCAAGCAATAATTAAAAAAAGAAAAACAGATAGGCTTCAAATCTGTTGTGTTCCAATTTGTTTAAAATGTCTGTTAGAAATCAGATAGTAATTGTTGCTTTGCGTTTGCATGTTTCCCTAGTCACCTTAATAGTCCAGTGGGTAGATGTAACCCAGCTGGAGAAGAATGCCACCCTTCTATTCCCTGAATGCATCAAAGTGAGTACCAGGGACAGTGAGCTCTACTTCTCTATGTTCCTCAACATCAACGAGACCTTCAAGTTAATGGAACAGCTGGCTAACATTGCCATGCGGCAACTATTTGATAATAAAGGGTATGTGGAGGACATGTTGCTTCCTAAGCCCAGCAAGCCTCTCAAAAATATTTCAGCACTCAAAAGGTATGTCTGTCTGTCTTTCTGTCCATCTCCCTCCCTCTCCTGCTACGCTCACACACAAGGAATCATTTTAAGAATAGTTAAATATGTTCCTGGACTGGATTGTATCATTGTGTCTGGAAATCACAGAAACATAAACCATGTGGATTAAGTTTTCCAGAAATCAGGGTTTATGTTTTATATTGGACAGCTCTCAGCTCCTTCCTGTGCATCCTTTTTACATTTCTTGAACCTACTAAGTGATTAAGGAACCTTTGACTTGGATGTTGTACTGGACATGGAAAATGGACTGTAGAAAAATTAATATTTGTGAAGTTGTTCTCTTGGTGTCATTCCAATGGAAGGATATTAGTTTTCTGATTGTATCCTATGGGCTTGCACTAATCCATCATAGGGCTGTGTTCCTCCTTATCTCAACCACTCTAGTATGTAATTTCATAAGATCTCGGTAGACCAGGCCATTATGGAGAATGGGTGTTTTTGTGCATCTCCCCATCCATTCCTCTGTTCAGGTAGTGCTGGGAGGGCTGGATGGGATGTTAGACTAGATCTCCCATTCTCTATAGCAGTTTGGAGTGCTGAGTGTCTCTATGTACACAGAAGTAGGGGAGAAAAAGGTTCTATTATACCCTATGGGGATCCCTTGTGGGTACTGAACTTTTGTTGGACTAGATCCACCATCCTTGACACTGAAGTTGACAAAATGTATTTTCCTTTGATTTGAGCATTATTTTTGTCAACACCTGCATCTTTTCACAATTTATGTCTTAATTTATATATAGAAATAGTTGTATACCACCATCTCATAAAATGTCAGGGTGTTGTACAGCAATGCACTGGTTCTTCTCACCACAAAAGATATTATAGAGCTGGAAAAGGTTAAGAAAAGGGCAACCAAATGATTATGGGGGTGAAAAGTATTTATCATCACTAGGAATGTTTGCCTTTCAATACTCAGGCCTAACTTTGTGTTTGATGGAAACAGAATCTTGAGTAAGCTGCATTGAAAAGGGGCATTTCCTGTAATGGTTGGATAGTGGAATGTATTATTTTCCCACTTAGTTTCTCGTGTGTATTATCATTTTTCTTCAGAGATTTGGATGCTCGAGCCAAAAATGAATGGTACCGTGCTTCATTTCGACTTCCTAAGGATGAACGTCTTGATGGGCATACAGATTGTACTTTGTGGACCCCATTCAACAAAATTCACATTCCTGGACAGATGTTTGTTTCCAACAACTATATTTGTTTTGCTAGCAAGGCAGAGGAGGCTTGCCATCTCATAATACCACTCAGGGAGGTGAGACACTGTTTCTTAAGGATGAATTGTCTTAGTATCTCATTGCTACTCAGTTACATTCTTATTCAGTTTTTTCAGAAAATATTTGAAGGTTTGTTTTTGAGTGTTAGTAGATTGGCCTATTGGTTAAATAATTTTCTAGGCTAGTGGCAACAAGATCCAGTTATATTTTTCAGTTGCGGCTATATTTTGAGATGGGAGCTGATAGGAATTCTGTGGCCACTGTTTGAAGAAGCAGTTTTATATACAAAACAGAGAGTCAAACACATCCAAGGGCTCCCTCTCCACTTTTGTCAGAGCAGCTTCCAAACCATTTTTTGGTTTAGCATGAGAACCGTCTGAAATAAAGCAGGTGTTTCAGAAATGTGGAACTTAAGTAGAATAGCCTTTCTTTATCACACTTCTTGCAGCATTTCAGTTTTCTGTGTTTCACATGCACTGTGGCATCTACCTGTACAGAAAAAAACTCAGTGTCTTCAGGAATATCTTGACAGCATTCACCTCCATATGTATCAATTATGGAGTTGCTAGTAAGATAACTGACATAGTTGTGAATAATCTATTAAAAGTTAAATTTAGAAGTTATGTTAATACAGAGGAACCTGATACACCCAAATGATCCCCATGTATATTCTCTAGGTCACAATTGTTGAAAAAGCTGACAGTTCCAGTGTATTGCCTAGCCCACTGTCCATCAGCACCAAAAGCAAAATGACCTTCCTTTTTGCTAACCTGAAAGACCGTGATTTCCTGGTGCAGAGAATCTCTGACTTCCTGCAGAAAACTCCGTCCAAGCAATCCTGTAACAATGGAGGAGGACGGAAGAAGAGCTGTGGTGACAATGCACACGAGGTATGAGAACTGAGCATTGAAAAGCCCCTGCTATTATTGCATCATGGTTATGACAAATTTCAAATATGTTTTGACATGTTGTTTCTTCAGATAGCCCCTCTTTCTAAAGCTAGATGCTTGAACCCTGGTGTTTCATTTGCTTACAGTGGCCATGTTTAGGTGCATTACTAAACCATAGCCCATAGTTTAGCAAATTAGTTTTTGCATGCAACTTGAGCTCTTCCACTAAACTCCTACCTTTATCGACAGGGAATCAAACCACAAAGTAGATGGTTTAGTGTTACTTCTGAACCAGTACTTGTAGTTTGTTTGGAGAAAACAAACAAACAATGAGTACTGATTTGGACATAAGGCTAAGTCATCTGCTTCATTTCCATTTGGTGGAAAGGGGAAATGGCTTAGAGTTGTGGCCAGTGACCCACAATGGAAAGGACACTGGGTGGTTTTTTTTTAACTTTATCCAAAAGATTTGGGAAATTATCTACTTATTCAGTCAGATATGACCTATATTCTCAATATTGAGATGAAATAGAGTCTAATTTTTATCCTGTGAGGAGTTCTTGTTAGAGAGAAAGCATTTTCTTAATGATACAAGGTTATTACTATTAGTCTAAGGGAAAATGGATGAGGCAGCACTGACTGCCTCAGATGTGAGAATGAGGAAGAAAGTGGTTGGGAACTCTGACTAAGGGGAGCTGAGATCATAGCTTAGTGATAGAGCAGATCTTTGCATGCTGAAGGTTTTCCCGAAGTGCCCTGCCTCACTGTTAGTTTAATATACCCCTCATGTCTTGACGTATAAAGTTTCACTCTTCATGTGACTGTGCCATGTAAGGGCATGTGCAAGTCCAACAGAGGGGGTCAGCAGTAGCATACCCTAGCTGTCCTCCTTTCTTCTGTTGAGAGATAGACTTATATCAAAATACTTACCTATCATAGGCAATGAAGATAAGCAGATGCTTAACTACCTTTGACCCCTTTTGCACACAACTAACAGAGATGCCTCTGTTTGGCCATCAGGTAGTTCTGGGGAAAATGGAAGCAGTTTCCCCCAAAGCACGATGCCTACCAAAGATCATCAAGAGATGCTAGCATTATTAAAGTAAAACAGGGGATAGAAGGACAGATAATCTGAGCTGGTATAAAGTGACTTATTGTGTTTGCCCTTAATGATTTTCTTACCTGAGATAATCTCCCTGTAGGGGAGGGAAATGTACAGCATAGCTTGTGTGGCATATGTGTTGATTTGGCTGTGAATGCACAAGTTAGGTGGCCAGTTCATCATGTTGATCCTGGATGTGTCTGGTGGTGTAGGTGTGTATAAATTATTGGTCGTCTGTTCCATTTTGTTTAATGGTTCCACCCTTCCTCATATACTTGGTTCATGAGATGGTATGCTTAATGGTTGCTTCTTAGCTCAGTTCAGTGCTGTTTGCTCAGAGCTACACACTGAGTGAGCTACCTAAGTGCCCTGGATTCTATCCAGCATGTTCTGCTTTTATCAGAGAAAAATGATGCGTCATACCATGCTAGTCTTAAGGGAAAGCAGATTAGGCAGCACTTGACTGCCTCAGATGCTGAGCAAAGGGGAAAGTGGCTGAGAACTCTGGCTAAATTCTCTAGGAGCAATGTCATCAATGATGGTTTTCCACATGGGATAATGGGCTCATAATTCACTGTCATTCCACTTCATAGTAGTGAACCAAATGACAGGGATGAGGACTCAGTTAATGAACAGTGTTGTGTGATGGCTTCGGTGTCGGGAGGCATAAAGAAAGATGAACTTCAGAAGCAAGTGGGTAGAGGAACACATATGAGGGGTGCAAATCTCTGTATAGTGGTGAAAGCTGGCTGAACTTTTTTTTTTTTTTAAGCATCCAGGACCAACAGGCTAGAGACAATGTAAAACAAGCTGGTCACTGTTCCCACTGTCACTGATTGGTAGACTTACTCAGTGACATTTCATATTGTTTGAGACGGTGGAACCACACTTTATATCCATAATGCTGATCAATAATTTGGGAATCTCATGGAGTGTTGCTAAGCCTGTTGGTCAGTATCATCAGGCACCATCTGACTGTTGTTGTAGTGGTAAGCTTATTGGTCATTACCACTCAGTGCTGCTTCACATACTGCCTTTTTGAGGCATATGCATAATAATGTGCTGTATACTGAGACATAAACATTTGCAAACACATCTATATATTTGGGAAAGTGGTTTGTCCATTTGTTCTCTTAACATTTGGTCATTTCTTGAGAAGTCACCAAATTTGGCACCAGGGTTTCCAGGGTGGGGGTGCCGTTCATCATTGTTTGTATGATGGCTGCCACTTTGAATCAACATGTGAACCACAACGTGACTTGAGCGTGACTTTGTTTTTTGGCATAGGTTTGGCTGCCTTTCAATATATCATCAACAAAGTTGGCACAAGGGTTCCAAAGGTGGGGCAGCAGACTTCATCGCCATTTGGACACTGGGTGCCATTTTGAAACAAGATGGCAGACTGAAATGTCACTTTGGTGTGGCTTCATCCATTTTTTGACATAGTTTCACCCGCCTCTTGAGATACGGTCACTAAGCTCTGCAATAGGGTTTTTGGGGTGGGGTTCTATGTTGATGTTTGGGTGCCAGGTGCCATTTTGAATCAAGATGGTGGACCAAAACCTGACTTTTGATTTCACTTCACCTGATATTTGCCGTAACAGATCCAAATTCACAAATTGCACTATCCATTTTAAAATCACAGTATTTTTTGGTTTCTAAAAAATTAGCTGGGCACTTCCCACTAATGATTTAGACAGGGGCCATAGCCACCTAACAGGTAAAGGTAAAGGGACCCCTGACCATTAGGTCCAATCGTGACCGACTCTGGGGTTGCGGCGCTCATCTCGCTTTATTGGCCGAGGGAGCCGGCATACAGCTTCCGGGTCATGTGGCCAGCATGACTAAGCCACTTCTGGCAAACCAGAGCAGCGCACGGAAACGCCATTTACCTTCCCGCCGGAGCGGTACCTATTTATTTACTTGCACTTTGACGTGATTTCAAACTGCTAGATTGGCATGAGCAGGGACCGAGCAACGGGAGCTCACCCCATTGCAGAGATTTGAACCGCTGACCTGATCGGCAAGTCCTAGGCTCTGTGGTTTAACCCACAGTGCCACCCACATCCCTTGTTGTTAGTGACCTTCCTGTACATCATAGATGGCCACCTCAGTGAAGAATTAAAAAAAGATGAATTGGAATGCACTAACAGTGGTCTCTAATGTACCTATATTATAAAGCCTTGGAACACCTTTTAGTCACACTAAATGCCATTTAAATTGCAATGGAAGCCTGTTTGTTCCTTTATAATTTTCAGTTTGTACATTTTAAAGGAAATTTCAGAACTGTCTCCCAGCAGCCCACTTGCAGCCAGCCCTGTCTCACCTCTCAACAATCAGCTGGCCAATTTTTGCACAGATGAAGTACCAACAGCATCCCAGGGACTGCTTAAACTGTTTGGGAGCAACACTGAGGAGCTCATTGGACCAAAAGGGGTAAGCCACCAACTCTTTTATTGGGGGAGGGGGGTGTCAATAGTTCTAAAACTAGTACAATAAAATCCCCTATAAAACCATATGTATTGAGGGGGGGTCAGTCAGATTTAATTTGCAAAAAAGAATTCAAAAGATGTTCATCTATGCATTAAAGACATGGGTAATATTTTTTAACAATAGCTGTACCTATTTTTTGGATGGCTCAACCTTAAGGCCTTTGGCAATAAATTTGAAAGAAGAAAGACCAGGCACAAAAAAAACTAAGGCATGTCCCCCAAGGAGGGAAATCTTAAGCAAGACCCATTTAGTGACCTTCAGGATTCACATGGATAGGTTTTTAAATACTTTTTAACTTAAGACCAACATCTTGCATTGGACCTGGAAGCCAATGGCAAAAGTTGGTTCCTAGTGCTTGTGTTCCATAAAAGTCTGTTGGGGCACGACATTGGGGAGATGATGCCTTGCCTTGTATTATAAAAGTAGATATGTGAGAAAGTAATTGGGTTGATCATATTATTTTGTCTTGTGAATGCTAATCCATTCAGGCATGCCTGTACTAATCCTTATGTATCCCAAAATGCTACTCTCTGAACACAGCAATAATATACCATATAACTATGCTAGAGATTGAGTCCCAACTTAATTTTGCTGAGTGTATATTAAAGCAGATAGTCCGTGAGATGTGCTGCCTTGGTGCCTATTCTGTTTTTAAAACAAAACAAAACTGCCCGTTGAGAGGGGAGCTATTTGATATCTTGTTTCATCTTGCACATTTCTATTACAATATCTTTGCCAGTTACTATAAGAGATCGATGTTAATAGATTATTTATAGAGCAAAGTGTGCTGTGTAAGAGTGGAAAGAAAATCCCAGGGTTTGGTCATCTGAAGTTTCCAGTATTGTGATCACAGTAATGGTTTCTTTAGGCAAAGGAGACAATGAAAGAGGAGTCATGGAACATTCATTTTTTTGAGTATGGGAGAGGAATGTGTATGTATCGCACAGCCAAGACCCGTGAACTGGTGCTAAAAGGGATTCCAGAGAATCTTCGTGGAGAGCTGTGGCTCCTATTTTCAGGTGAGACATTATATGCTCAACAGGTTTCCCTTTTAATGGGAATAGAAGTTTTTCAGTTAATCTTTGTGGGCTACTTCCACTGTTAGAATGCAGGGGTTCCCAGAGCTGGAAGTGACCTCACAAATCATCTATAATTCCTTCCAATGGTCCAGGGATGGGGAACACTTCACCCTCCTGATGTTGCTGGACTGCAGTTCCCACCATTGCTGACCAATGACAATATTGGCTGAAGCTGAAGGGAGCTGGAGTCTGACAGCACCTGCTGTTCCCCGTCCCTGCATTTATCCTGACCAGTGGTGGCCCATGTTGAGTTTTCTTCTCTTGAAAGATTAATGGAGAGATCACATGCATGCATTGCAGGATAGCTGACATGAGTTTAAAAATGATATCTAAATACACATATAACAGCATTACGTCATGCATTTAGTCCATGGTCTAGCACAGCCACAAGGGATTGAAACTGACTAGTTTTTGTGTGCGTCACTGCAGGAGCCTGGAACGAGATGGCTACTCACCCTGGGTATTATGCAGACATGGTGGAACAGTCACTGGGAAAGTATAGCCTTGCTACAGAGGAAATAGAACGAGACTTACATCGATCAATGCCAGAGCACCCTGCCTTCCAGAATGAGCTGGGGATTGCTGCACTTCGAAGAGTACTGACAGCATATGCTTTTCGGAATCCCACAATTGGCTACTGCCAGGTAAGAGAGTGGTAAGGATTAGCTTGCAGTTTGGCACATCACATCCAAGTCCAATTAAATTTCATATTGGAGCTCCAGCTACCTATTGGTACTAATGCTGCCAGTAGTGTGAGAGACTCCCTGGTCCTGAATGGAGTAACTGTCCCTGAAGAACCAGGTGCACATCCCGGGAATCATTTTGGACTCACAGCTGTCTGTGGAGGCGCAGGTCAATTCTGTGTCCAGGGCAGCTGTCTACCAGCTCCATCTGGTACGCAGGCTGAGACCCTATCTGCCCACAGACTGTCTTGCCAGAGTGGTGCATGCTGTAGTTATCTCCCACTTGGACCACTGTAATGCGCTCTACGTGGGGCTACCTTTGAAGGAGACCTGGAAACTACAGCTCATCCAGAATGCGGCAGCTAGACTGGTAACCGGGAGTGGCCACTGGGACCATATAACCTAAAGGATCTTTATTGGCTCCCAGTGCATTTCCAAGCACAATTCAAAGTTTAAAGCCCTAAACAGCCTCGGTCCAGTATACTTGAAGAAGCGTATCCGCCCCCATCATTCAGCCCAGACACTAAGATCCAGCACTGATGGTATTCTGTTGGTTCCCTCACTGCGAGAAGCGAATTTACAGGGAACCAGGCAGAGGGCCTTCTTGATAGTGGCGCCAAGAAAGACCCTCCCTTCAGATGTCTAGGAGATAAAGAAGTATATACCTTTTAGAAGCCATCTGAAGGCAGCCCTATATTGGGAATTTTTTTGATGCTTTATTATGTTTTATGTAGTCTGTAAGCCACCCAGAGTGGCTGGGGAAACCCAGCCAGATGGTAGGGTATAAATAATAAAATTATCATACATGGTCCTAAGCACCACTCTAGGTTAAGCGCAACCAGGGCTGATGGAATGCCCCCGTCTTCCCTCTAGAATTTCCTGGAGCTTTTATGGAAGGGGTGTGTGAAGCATCCTCCCTTCCCACTCCACCTGCTAAATGTCATTATTTCTAATAAAAACACTAATACTAGTTAATTGAAGCAAAGATGTGGTTCTGAGCTGTAAAATCTTTTATTCGAGGTATCTCATTTATCATTTGTGTCTTATGCTCTGACAAACTAAAATATAATAAATGATTGCTGCCCTAAATGAGCTTCTCACCTAGTGTGGATTCTTCTTCTTCTCCTTTTGCATGCCCCTTTCCTCTCAGGCCATGAACATTGTGACATCAGTACTGCTTCTGTACTGTAATGAAGAAGAAGCTTTCTGGCTCCTTGTGGCCCTGTGTGAGAGGATGCTGCCAGATTATTATAACACCAGAGTGGTTGGTAAGTCTTCCAGTTAACCTTAAAAGCTAGAATTTGTTTTTAAAGAGCAATTCATTGGATAGGTAAGTTATTTTTCCTTAGAACAGGAGGTGTGCGTTGGAAGCCTTGGCCTCATAAAACCAGGTTTTGAATATATTCTTACAATTATAGGGTGATATCTGAGCATACAGGAGGGCAGAGAGAAAGAGGAAGCCTGCTCCACTGTTAATGGCTGTTACTAAATATCCATACAGTTGGAAAAAAGCTGAACGAGTCAGTTCAATCACCTGTCATAATACAAGATACCTTGAAAAAGACAAATCACTTGCCTGTCTAGTCTTTGATTAAAAATCTTCAAGGACAGAAGTTCTGGTATCTTCCCAACCACTATGTTTGATTCCTAATTTCTCTTGTGTGGATTTTTTTTAAAAAAAGTTTAATCTGCTATTGACTTTATTTAATTTTATATCCGCTACATCCGCTACATCCAATTCTTAGCGGATAGAATAAATAATTATACTTCCTTAAAGGTAAAGGTAAAGGTACCCCTGCCCGTACGGGCCAGTCGTGTCCGACTCTAGGGTTGTGCGCCCATCTCACTTAAGAGGCCGGGAGCCAGCGCTGTCCGAAGACACTTCCGGGTCACGTGGCCAGCGTGACGAAGCTGCTCTGGCGAGCCAGCACCAGCGCAGCACACGGAAACGCCGTTTACCTTCCCGCTATAAAGCGGTACCTATTTATCTACTTGCACTTAAGCTGCTTTCGAACTGCTAGGTGGGCAGGAGCTGGGACCGAACGACGGGAGCTCACCCCGCCGTGGGGATTTGAACCGCCGACCATGCGATCGGCAAGCCCTAGGCACTGAGGTTTTACCCACAGCGCCACCCGCGTCCCTTAAATCCTTAAATCAATTTACTTCCTTAAATCAATTCAAATATTCTAAAACTGTCAATATATTAGCATCTCCTCTCTAGCTCCTCCCCAGTTTCTTTAGCTTTTGCCTGCTTGAGCAAAATGTGCTCTTCCACTGAACTGAGCAATACCATTGCTTCACAAGTCTGAAATTGATATCATCTTCTCACAATAATTCAGAAACTAGAGTTATTAATAATTAAATGCCCAAAATGATTGAGGTTGGCAGGTACTGCCATGGAATATCAGCAGGACTGGTGAAGTATAGAAAATTGATTGAAGGTTTTCTGAAATGTTAAAATACATATTTGACTGAGTGAGACAATATAATAGGTACTGGGCTGCAGTGAGACCTTTACTAAGGCTTCAGAAATTTAAACTAAATATAGATTCCTTATATTTAATTTATATATGGAATTGTTTAATTGTATATGAGCATACTGCTGAGTCTCCCAACAGGTTGTGTTTTGCTCTGAAAGGCATGAAAGGTTCAGTCATTTCAGTAAAGACACATAACATTCACTTTAAATTTAGTATTGTGCTTATCCTTTAAAGAAGCTAATAAGGGATATTTCACACATTAATACTTAACACTCAGTGATTGCTACATGAGGTAATGATGTCCCATGAGTAAAACAGCCATTGTAACCTAAATATTGCAGTCAGAAGGTTGTATCCAGTGGACTTCCACTTGCACAGTGAGACTTCCTCATTCTCTCCTTCCCATTTCAGGCCCCATGCACCCTACAGAACCGTTCTGCTGGGCTTTCAGATTTCATTTCATCACTTCCTCAAGCACAATAATTTTTAGTGGATGGCTGCTCACTCACAATATTCCTTTGCAAGCCAAGTGGTAAATGTACAGGTGGCTTCACCCTAAGGCAAATCAGTTATTCTCTGCACTTTTGTTTTACTCTAGGTTTACCTCAGCCCCTTGTCTGTAATGTTGAGTCTATGCTACATTTCCAGTTCCATGTTGCAGATAACACTCTCTCTCTCTCTCTCTCTCTCTCTCTCTCTCTCTCTCTCTCTTTCTTTCTCTCTCTCTTTTCTGTTCAGGTGCCTTGGTAGACCAGGGCATCTTTGAGGAGCTCACACGGGACTGTCTTCCCCAGCTGTCTGAGAAGATGCAAGACCTAGGAGTCATTTCCAGCATATCGCTTTCTTGGTTCCTCACACTCTTTCTCAGCGTCATGCCTTTTGAAAGTGCTGTGGTCATTGTTGACTGTTTCTTCTACGAAGGCATCAAGGTCATCTTGCAGGTATCTCTGGCCATCCTGGATGCCAACATGGAGAAGCTGCTTAACTGCTGTGATGAAGGCGAGGCCATGACTGTCTTGGGCAGGTAGCCTCATTTTTCTGTTTCACAATGAAATGAATGGTAATGGATATAGTAATAGCTACCATTAATTCTTCCTTCTTATCCCTGGCTAGTGACTGAAGCTTCTTGCTTTTCACTTGGCAGGGACCAGTTATTACAAGGATAATAATAAAAAGCCATTTGCTCAAAGCCAGCCACCATGTTTCAGTGTGTTGTGAGATATGTCCACCGTAGGTAGTGAAGCCCAGAAATATTTATTGTAACTGCAATATCCGTTTGGCCAAAAAAGATAATTTGGGGCTAAATTTATAAGTACCGTATTTTTCCGTGTATAAGACGCCCCCATGTATAAGAACCCCCCCCCCGTATTTTGGGGGACTTCAAATTAAGAAAACACCCCTCAGCACTATTTGTGTATAAGATGAGCCCCAATTTTAAACCTAATTTTTGGTTTAAAAACCCTAGCCTTATACACGGAAAAATATGTTAATTTATGGATAAATTAATAGAAATGTAACTAGGAAATCTGGTTTCCATGAAAGAGGCTAGTGAAATCTCTTTCAGCCAGGAGCATGTGGGCTAGCAGGGGTCAGAAATGAACAATCAAAGTGCTACTTTGATCATCGTAATGAAGTCTTTCAAGAAGGGTTTGCTTCAGATAGCAATTCAGTTCTGCTGGAACCAGCTGTTACCCAGCCTATCCTGTCTTAGAGTAGATTCCAATAGCAACCAGCCATCTTATGAGACAGGTGCGGGGAACATTTTGGCCCTCCAGAAGCTGCTAAAATACAATTCCCATCAGCCTCAGCAAACATGACAAGCTTGACCAAAGGCCAAGGAAAAAGGGATTTGTAGTTCAGCAACATCTGGAGGGCCAAAGGTTCCTCACACATGTTAAAAGATAAACGGTGAGTCAGTGGGTTTACTTGTACAGGGGTCAGCTGCCTTCCTGCCCTTCCCCTCCTTTGAATGAGTGACCAGCTACTCCCCAGCTAACAGGAGGAGAGGGTTGAGACAGTGAAGACTGCTGCTGAGCAGAAGCCATTTGCAACTGCCAGAAGAAAGAGGGGAGGTTGTGAGGACTTCCTGCTTTGATCATTCATATTTTGTTCTAGTTTTTGCATGTTGCCTTGAGTTTTTCTGCTGAAAAAGGAAAACTGTAGATAGATATGATACATATGACACATACATAAACAAAATACATTTTCCTGTTAATGGCTGTTATTCATCCTTTCACCAATATAGTATGTTCATTTGGTTTCTTGTAGCATAATTGATTTGTACAGAGATTGAATCAGAAGTAATGAGAATTAATCATCAGTGGAATTATGCAGGCTAGGTAGAACTACCTATATAAACTATTCAGAATGGTAACCCTAAATTTGGGTTATGCATTAATCCCAAGTTCTGTCTTTTACTTTTGGTTTTCCTGTAGGTACCTGGACAACGTAGTTAATCGACAAAATGTTTTCCCACGTATTCCCCACCTCCATGCCTTATTGACAAGTGGGGATGATCCACCAGTTGAAATTGATATCTTTGAACTTATAAAAACAGCCTATGAGGTCAAGTGCTGTCTTATTTTTTCACTCCTTTTTATTTAAATACCTTACTAGACTTGTATTCCTTGTTGAACTCCACACCCACACACCCCTTCCCCCCCCCTTCATGCTGCTTTTAATCTTGGGTTGTTCAGGGTAATTATTTAAAAGATGGGATTACTATTATTTTTATCTTTGTGTTTGTTTTTATATTTTGGAAGCCACTTTGACTCCTTTGAAGGGGGAAAGTGGGATATAAATTTTTTTATATTAATCAGTCAAACTTCTTTGTGATACATGCACAATTTCTGGATATGGGCTTGCTGTTACTTCTCTCCCTCTGCCCCACCTTTCATATAAACCTTATTAAATCTGAGTCTAGTCTTCCGAAATGTTACATGCATGGTTAATGCAATAGAAGGGAAGCAAAACCGTAGTGTTTTACTTCCCCTGTTTAGACAGTGACTTGTTGCTGCTTGCTAATGTATCTTTCCCTTCCTCTGCCATCAGTATTTCTATCCATGGCTTTCAAACATTGCTAGAGGCAGCTGTTTGGGACTACAACTCCCATCATCCCTACCTAACAGGATCAGTGGTCAGGGATGATGAGAATTGTAGTCCCAAAACAGCTGGAGGGCCGAGTTTGACCATGCCTGCTTTAGACAGAGATTTGCTTTCTCCGCAGTGAAATCATTGCTTAGGAAATTATCTTCAAATGCTTCATTGAATATGTGGTATTCCCCTGTGGCTCTAAAGATGAATCTTGTTTATTTGTATTACTACAGAAATTCGGCCATTTGAAAGCAGATGACATTGAGCAGATGCGCTTTAAGCAGAGATTGAAAGTGATCCATTCTTTAGAGGACACAGCTAAGAGAAGTGTGGTATGTTGCACCCAGTTTTGTGTTATAGGTGTTGGGTATGTTGATGCTTTTCTAATTTTTACCTTTGTGGATAGGATGAGTTTTTAAAAAAGTAAATCAGGTAATCAAATTATTAGCATGCACTGAAGGACACTTTGCTTAAAGTTATTCTACAGAGTTGTTTTGCATCACATTTGAATTAAGGAATTGTGAGTGATGATCTTGGGGGTGCATCTGCTGCATCTGAGAAATTGCCATATATTTCTCTGAAGACATGAGAGGTTGGCCTGAAAAATTTGTGAGAAAAAATTGGCAGGCTTTTAAAAAAAACCCTTCTACTGAGCTCTCCTCTTTTCCTCCACTGAGGGTGTGGCAACAGGAATCATAGAATCATAGAGTTGGAAGAGACCACAAGGGCCATCGAGTCCAACCCCCTGCCAAGCAGGAAACACCATCAGAGCACTCCTGACATTTGGTTGTCAAGCCTCTGCTTAAAGACCTCCAAAGACGGAGACTCCACCACACTCCTTGGCAGCAAATTCCACTGTCGAACAGCTCTTACTGTCAGGAAGTTCTTCCTAATGTTTAGGTGGAATCTTCTTTCTTGTAGTTTGGATCCATTGCTCCGTGTCCGCTTCTCTGGAGCAGCAGAAAACAACCTTTCTCCCTCCTCTATGTGGCATCCTTTTATATATTTGAACATGGCTATCATATCACCCCTTAACCTCCTCTTCTCCAGGCTAAACATGCCCAGCTCCCTTAGCCGTTCCTCATAAGAACGTATCTTAAGGAGATACTGACCTTTCTCATCCTCAGAACTCCTGTGCCATAGAATCTCAAGGGAAGAATAGCTTTCACGTCTTCTTGCTTCTGTTCCCCCCCCCCCCCGTTGTTTGTGCCATTGTGGTGTTCCTTCCCTCCAGATAGGATCAGATGTCTCCAAGTGAATGTCTCTAATGCCCTTGTAGATGTTTGACAGTGAGTGGATCAAATAGATAAAAGCTGAAAGGATGAAGGAGTTGACACATTTCCTGTTCCCACTTCCAATTACAGTGCATTGAGAGCAGGAAATACATTTAATGTTTTTGACCACTTTTTTGCTGTGTTTACCCCCTGAGTTCAAGGGAATAGAGCTACTCTTCTCTAGCTGTTGTTGAGGTTTTTGCATCTTCCTGTCTCAGATCAATAGCTCCCAAATGCAGACTTTAGTATTCTGCTCAAAATCATTACATGTTCCTTCCTTTCTCCGGTCAAGTCCCCAGACTTTGAAAGTCATTTTGTCGTGCTTTGTTTGAAGTAACCTTCCTGGTGTATTTTAATTTAACTTTTCCAAGTTCACAGCAAAAATAATTAAAATATATCTGTTTCTTTGTGTTTCTGTAGGTCCGAGCTATATCTGGTGACATTGGTTTTTCTATGCAAGAATTAGAAGACCTCTATGTAGTATTTAAGGTAGGAACCCTGCATAAAAGCTTATTTAACAATATACAGCATAATCATAAGCATGTTTGCTCAGAAGTAAATTTCACTGGGATTTGCTCCATAATAATCCTTAGTGTATTTTATTTACCAACGTACAGTGTAATCTGTAATCTTGGCATGTTTTCTCATATATAACGCCTACTGATTTCAGTGGGATTTATTCCCTACTGAGCATCCTTGTGACTGCAGCATGAGAGCAGAACCAGAATTATTAGTAACAGTATTATCTGTTAACTTGTACTCTGCTGTTCCAAGCTTAATGAATACATTCAGTTTCTTCGGCTGAACCCACTGTAGCCTCTGCCACTGCAGTTGAGAAGTAAGAATCTAATTTCACTTGTTGAACAGATTTAAGTGGAATTCTTCCAACTGATGCAAGCATCCATTGAAAGTTTAAAGGACTATAGAACTGCAGAAGGAAATGCCATTTATTTCCATACCTTTCATTCACATTAACATTTCTACCTGAATCTGCATCTCAAGTTGGTGGTGTTGCTTATTGCAGGGGCAGTCAATGTGGCACTCTCCAAATGTGCTTGGACTCCCACCAGCCCCAGCCAGGATGGCCAATCCTCAGGGACAATCGGAGCTGTAGCTCAGCCACATCTGCTGAGAACCACTACCTCCATCTTACTGTTATGATTAACCTTTAGATGTACTGTAGTATCTTTTCTGCCTGTTGCAGTTGATTAAAAGTTACTTCCAAGCCTGTAAATGTAAAATGATGTTGGTGTTCAGCTCACAGGTTTCCCCACCATCACCTATAGGTTTGGGTTGGCTTCAAGACTGAAGTTTTGAAAATGTAATTATTGTCTGACCACAATAATTGTATTACCACCTTCCCTTCACAGGCAAAACACCTAATGAGCTGTTATTGGGGAAATCACACTGTATCTGCCCAGCGAGACCAGAGCCTGCCCTACTTAGAGCAGTACCGCATTAACATGGAGCAGTTCAAGGAGTTGTTTGCATCTCTTACTCCTTGGTCTTGTGGCCTCCACACACCAGTGCTAGCAGAAAGAATGTTCCGACTGTTGGATGAGAACAAAGATGCACTAATTAACTTCAAGGAGTTTGCAACAGGGATGAGTGAGTGGCTTATATAAAAGATTCAATGTACTGCTGAAGCATAAATTCTTGCCTCCTCCCCTCTTCTCCTATCTGCTGGTCAATTGTGAGCGAATGATGCAATTGCATATTTGAATGATTTCCTCATAATATGTTTGTGGTTGAAATGTTTTCTCATTATTAGGCCAGTTCATTCCCCCACCCTGTGATGTAGGGTGAGAAATATAAATGGTAGTTCTCCTAGTGCCACATTCTACTCCAAATTAGCAGATAAAGCTTCTAATGGCTTGTGTAGGATCTATAGATAGATGTTCGAACCAGTGTGGTTTGGTTGTGAATCCTGGCCTGAATCTTACATTTGCCATGTATTCACTGTTTGACGTTGACCAAGTCAATAGCTATGAGCTTCAGCTCTCCATCTCTAAATTAGAATAGTGTGACCTACCTCACAAGGCTGTTGGGAGCGGAAACATAAACAAGCTCTGTGACGGCATACAAAAATTTCAGTGTGGATATGGGAAAGCTTCATTTGCTAAATGTCTGTGTATCGGGCAGATATCAAGCATAATAACCTTTTCAGACTTTTTTGAAGTGTCTCCTAATGCTAAATTTCTTTTCCCTTCCTCCCTATTCCTAATAGGTGGAATGTATCATGGTGATCTGACTGAGAAGCTAAAACTTCTTTACAAACTACACCTACCTCCAGGTGAACCACTTATTTCTTTCAAATGTACATTGGTGGTACCTGAATGCTGCAAACTGTTAAAGTTGGTAATAGGTTCTTTCAAATACATTATGTCTTGGTAAGCATTCAGTATTCTGTGTTCACTGAGGTTTCATTTTCCTAAGGTGTCAGTCTATACCAATTGGAAATGTAATTCTGGTTTATCATGTATGTAGCTCCTTCAGCTACATTGAGAAATGATTTTAAAATAACTTACAAGAGCTAAAGGTTTTAATTCACTTCACTGGTGTGGTTTAATCAATAAAATTAATATCTGGCCCAAGAGTTTGGGGGTCATGCGGAGTACACCTCTGTATGAGGTCCCTTCTCCCTGTGCTAGTTCAGTGGCTTATCTGAGTAGCCTTTTAAGTTTCGGCCAGTGCTTTGGGAGATTCTCTATGTGATTCTTGATTGCAGCCCTTCCTGTATGTGCCATCTCTTCTCCTGTCTTTAAGAAACTTGGGTTGGGCTTACTGACGTGAGTAGAGCAGAAAAGGTGACCTGAATATTATTTAGAAATTGCTATCATGTTAATCTGCCTATTGAAGAACTTGAATACTTGTGTCCATATATAGCACAAGTCAGATTTTAATTTAACGATAAACAATGGTCTGTCGTTGCATACATGAGCTTCTCAAGCATTAAATCACATTTTGCTGTTAAGTTCAAACCTTAGACTGTGATTAATCTTAAGGGGAAAGCTTTTTTCATAAAACATGGCTTGAAAATGGCTTGTTAATACAACCACAGTTTTAGGTTCAGATATACAGCTAACTGTAGTTTGTGAAAAATGGATGTAAAAGCTTTGAGTCTCCTCATTGTGGCCACGCTAGAGTGGAGTGGGGAAGCACACAAGCCCAAGGCTAGCTTAGGCTTTTTATTGTTTGTAAGCTACCTTCAAATAAAGCCGGGAATAAATAAAATAAATAAAAAGGCCATGGCTTTATACTTTTCTTTCTTTGTACAGCTCTGAGCCCAGAGGAAGCAGAGTCTGCTCTGGAGGCCGCGCGTTACTTCACAGAAGATAATGCTACAGAAGGTAACAGGGATTGGTCACATCTGATTGTCGGAATGAATACTCAACGGTGGCTTTCTTAGCTATTCCTCTAAGCAGGATTGTGTCAATGAAATGCTTTAGCCTCTGTTGTGGACTGTGAAGAGATGTTCTCCTTTTATATGAAGCACTGACTGGCTGCTACTAAGGAAGACTAAAACCACCTATCAGATGGCTTTTTCTGCCCAGGCTGTTACTCAAATCTTGTTTCCATTTTTGTTTTCCCCACTTGTTTCTGTTGCTCTGTATTTTAACTCTCTCTCGTTCTATCTTGAATTTATTCCCTGACCTCAACCCCCCCTTCCTCTTTTTCCCCCCTCTCTCTCTCTTCTCTTTGCTTCTCTAGCATCTCCCTTTGTCTCAGAACTGGATCTCTTCCTGCATTGTGATTCTCAAGGTTAGTCTGCCCGCCCTTGCAAAGGTGGGGCACTATTGATGTACTAAAATTTACCTGCCTACTATGTGAGTGAAAGCTCATTTAAAATGGAATTGCTTTAGTGCTGCTCTTCAATGCGTGGCAGCAGAGTGGATGCTCTATGGGTGAGTCGTTTGTGTGTTCAAGAAATCAACCAGTTGCCTGTGCTGCACGATGTTAGACTCCACGTCTGGGGGTTCCTTCTGAGTCAAGCTTTGTCAGTGGTTGTTTAGCCATTCTTAACTTCAAGATTGGATTACTGTAGTGCACTTTGTGTGGAGCTCCCCTTCCAGCTGATCTAGAAGCTGCAATTAGTGCAGAATACTGCAGCATAATTGCTGACAGAGTGAGATCATCTGCTCAAAGATCAGCACTGGCCGTCAACTTGCTACCAGACCAAAATCAAGGTCTTAATTTTATTGGCATACAAAGGCCTTAAGAGCATTGGCAACCCTTTATTTAGAGATCTCCTTGTCCTTTCCTTACATGTTTGACCACTTGGCTGTGGTCTGTGCTAGAGAACTCACCCCCTGTCAACATTAGGCAGGCACCCACATATTGTTTCAGATGCCTTAAAAAAGTAGTTTAGGAAGCCTATCCAGACATACGATTTAGTTATGCATACTTGTTTTTAAATTTTGCTGCTTTTATTTGTATATTGATGATTGTTTTATGTATACTGCTAAAGGATTTTTTTATTAATAGTTTATAATTTCAAATAGATAGATAGATGATAGATAGATAGATAGATAGATAGATAGATAGATAGATATCATAGATTAAGCTACCTAGCTGTCACCATAACAAGCGTGCTTTATTTTCTTAATCTATTATCAGTTCCTCTAACTCCATATATACCACATTCACTGCACAGATTTTTGACCTAGAAAAGGCACAATGTCTGATAATTAAGATTCATTCCACAAATAAAGTTGTTTATCTATAGCACTAGTTATCTTTTTCCTGTTTTTTCTAACACTTTAAGCAGTGAGTATTGTCTTATGGCCATGCAGAAATAGTAACTTTATTTGCCCTTAGCAAGTTATCAACCAATTTCATTTAACCTTTAGTTCCAGTAGTTTGAGGAACAGAGAAACAAATTTCTCGTAATTCACACTCACTCCACATATTTTATAACTTTACAATCCAGTAGTCTGTTGTGTCTCACTGTAGTCATTTTTTTCTAAAGTAAAAAACCGTGTTGCTGCTAGCTCCAAATAACTGATATATTCTTATGACATTTTATGTCAGATTTCTACCATTGCAGATGAGTTAAACTGAAATATTTTAAAATAAAATAAAATATTTTGTTTGTTTGTTTGAGTGTATATTTTTACCATGAATTGCTCCCCTCCCACCCCCTACCACCAGCAGTACAGGATCAAAGGTGTTTGGGTGTGTACATGTAAATTAGAATTCATTGGGAGGTTTTCCCCCAGCTGGCAGACATATTGGTCAATAATTTGAAAGCTTATTCAAATGCCTCAGTCATACTGTTTACCTTATTTAAAATTTTATTTTTAAAACACTAGTTTGACATTTATTCAATTTAATGTATGTTCATCTCCCCTTTTCAGTTTTGTTGTTGTGGTTTTTTAAGTAGGATTGGTTTTTAAACTTGAAAAATTGCTTTGAGGACTAAGGAAAATGACTTCACAATTTTCTGGCCGATCAGCACTTTGTGCATCTTGGTTCTGTAATAAACATGCTGCTGGTTTCTTCTGAGGTTGATCTATAAGAAAAGGCTGTACATCTATATAAAACACAATGAGTGTCCAATGTCTACACACAACAGAGCCATTGCTCAAATTATGGATGCACCCTTAGCTTTGTTATATATTATTCAGTGTGCTTGGTATCCTGCTAGGATATCTTAGTCAGTAGTGCATGAGACTCTTAATCTCAAGGTTGTGGGTTTGAGCCCCATGTTGGGCCAAAGATTCCTGCAGGGGTTGCACTAGATCACCTTTGTGGTTCCTTCCAACTCTACAGTTCTATGATTTTGCTATCTTTTGTTTCATGTACTTCTCTTAAAGTAGTTACTACTTTATTGTCTGATTTATTAGAAGCAGCTATGCAGGAAGAGAAAGCACCAAGAGATGGGAACCCCAAAGACCAAGGTAATTATTATTTGTAATGGCTGACGTATCCCAACATTTCCTTACTGTGACTCATAAATTATCTCTCCCCAGAACATCAACCTGGTTCGTTTCCTAGTTTTAACATTTCCCTTTAACATAGAATAAAATGCCTTTTTTAGAGCAACAAGTCTTAATAGTCCTCTGAACAGTTTTGTTATGTTTGGTGTGTGTTTCAGGCCTCAGCAGAACTTTTACTTATTGCTGCCAGTTTGAAGCAGCATATTATGGCAGAAAGTTTAAAAATAAAGAAAATAAATCTCAAAATCTATGTCAAGGTCACCAAAGTCAATAAAATGCATCTTCATACAGTTTTGCGTTGGTTATGCTGATTTGGTTTTCCTTTCAGAGGAAAAGGGCACCAGTCCCCAAGATTACAGATACCACCTGCGAATTTGGGCCAAGGAAAAAGATTCCAAAAAAGAAACTATCAAAGATCTTCCTAAAATGAGTCAGGTAGGAATTTATTTTAAGATCTGTTATGTTTTTTAAGATGAATTTCTGAAATAGTATTTGCCTAGATTTAAGATACTGAATGAGCCAGAAGGGTTGGTGGTTTTATCATTGTACCATATTTTACCAGGCAATAAAGGAGAGCTCTTCTAAGACTGGCATGGGTGACATCCTCATGAAGGGTTGTGTTCTCTGATTTAGCCAAGCCAGTGATATGTGGCTGATTGCTGGAGGAGGATAAAATGCAAAGAAACAGAGAAGAAGACCATGTCTGCTTTGGCCAAGACAGGGAGCTCCTGGTACCCCATCGCCACCCTCTTTTGCTGAGAGAAATGCCTCTGGGTGGTGCAGCTCAGGGACATTCTACGGAAAGAAAGTGGGTGGGGTGGCTGGGGGCCTGTATTTCATTTTCTGCCTACCTCAGCACCACCCAAGGAGGAATTGTCTGCTACTGTCATTACACATCTTCATGAGCAGACAGGTGGAAATGGGATTTTCCCAACCCTTAGAAATGTGGAGTTTAGCCAAGTTAGCCAAGTTAACTTTAACGTTTTTAACGTGTGATATTTTACTGTATTTTTGGTTTTTATGGAAGCCGCCCAGAGTGGCTGGGGAGGCCCAGCCAGATGGGCGGGGTATAAATAATAAATTATTATTATTATTATTATTATTATTATTATTATTATTATTATTATTAACATTTAAAAGACAGCTAATTTTGGTTCTTTGCATTCAGTTTTCATATATGAAACATTAGTGCACATCTCAAGTGGAAATGCATTACATTTTGGAACATTTTCTGTGTTGTCAGCATGATTGTTAGCTTGAGATGATAAAAAAATGTTTATTTAAATTTGTGACTGGTCAGCTTGTTGTTTTGCAGCATTGTCAGTTTGAATATTTTGCACCTAAACTCTAATCAGTTGTTATAATGTGCATCTGTCTCTTTTCAAGGAGCAATTTATAGAGCTCTGCAAGACACTTTACAATATGTTCAGTGAAGACCCCGTGGAGCAAGAGCTGTACCATGCCATTGCCACTGTTGCCAGCCTTCTCCTGCGCATTGGGGAGGTAGGCAAAAAGTTCTCCCACCAGCCTGCTAAGAAAGGTGATGACTTAAAAGCAAACAGCGTTCAGGACCCAGTAAGTGAAGAAGAGTCTCCAACATCTGACCAGAGTCAGAATTCAACTGTGGAGCAGTATTCCCAAGCTACTCCAGAAGAAAAGGCTTCTGGAGACATTCAGGTTGAGAAACAGCAACAGGAAAACCAGATTTTGGTAGATGGAGGTGGTGAGGGTCCAGGATCTCCAATACAGCTGTTTTCAGATGATGAAACTAAAGACGATATGTCCATGTCTTCATACTCCATGGTCAGCACAGGCTCTCTGCAGTGCGAAGATATTGCAGACGATACAGTGCTGGTCGGTTGTGAGGCTGGCAGTTCAGCTGCGCGATATGGCAGTACCATTGACACAGACTGGTCCATTTCCTTTGAACAGATCTTGGCCTCCATGCTTACAGAGACAGTACTGGTAAACTACTTTGAGAAGAAAGTTGACGTTGCACAGAAGATCAAGGAACAAAAGAAAGTGGAGAGGCAGTTCAGTGCATCCAGTGATTATGAACTTACCTCAGTATCAGGCTGAACTCAAGAGAGAGGTGTAAATAATAGAGGCAGGAGAACTAGAAACCTGGCAGATAGCTGGACACTTGTTTTTTGTTTTTTACCAACACCTACAACTACCCAACAATTAAAGTCACTTCAGCTGAGTAAGGGACTTATCACAATGACTCTTTGGTATAGATACCTCCCTGGAGGACACCTTGCTTGCTGTGCTTACATTACATTCTCAAAAGCATGAAAGCCATTAGAACCTAATAGCCTCTGTGGCCTAGAATTACTATGGTAAATTATGCATGTGTGCCTCTGCCTATCTTTCTTTAATGAAGCTTGATTTCAGTCACACTATTGCTTTAGGTTCCTTGGTAGTTGCTCACAAGAAATGCAGCCTAGCTTGAATTCCTTCCTCTGTATCTTTGGCTGCCTCCCTGTGACCTTAACGCCATGTATCAAAATGCTGTAGAGATCCCCAGCCTGCCTGAGAGAGCCTTGTTAGGAACCTAGAAGCTACGCAGTAACTAGTCAGAAGTAAAGGATGTTATGCTCTGTTACGCCTGGCATCCTGCCGCTAGAATGTACCAGTGTCTTGGGACAACTGGTTTCTATCCCAGATGATATACCATCACAGTAGCATGTGGTTTTCAACACTGCCCAAGAAAGATGCATCCTAGTATGTTATAGCCCAGTTTTAACTCTTCAGTGCCATGTAATTTTTTTGTTTTTTGTTGTTTTAATTTCCCTGAAAGGGGGGGGGAGCAGTACTGAGAATTGCAAAAGCTATGGAGACTGGAGAGGGCAAAGTGAATGCAAAAATCCTGAGAATTACAAGACACTGATAAGAACGGAATTCTTGGTGCTTTTGGGCATTAGAGTGTTTACTTCATAATTTTTGATGGTACAAGGGCTCAGAAATGTGGGGTTTAAAGAAGTTAATAATAACGTGGAAGATCTAAGCCCCTACACCAGTAAGCTAGTTATCATAAATGACTTGCATCACTGTACAGGCTGCTTATCTGATCTGTTTCTCACCATGGTGGAAAGTGGATCTATTGCTTTTGTGTGTATGCTGGGCTCAAGTAATGCAAGTGTGTACACAGTTTAGGACTAAGCAGAAAGCAGAGATTAGTCCAGTTTATCTGAACCAACTAACCTACTGGCTACATGCTGGTCCAGAAGTTCCACACCATAGGAATCCTGCTGGTTGTACCCTCCAAACAGTGTCTGTTACCTACTTTATAATGTTGTGTGGTGTTTAGACAACCTTCTTTTCCAGCGGCATAAAGTGCAGTTATGAGATCTGTGCTCTGAGAATCAGTTGTAGGCCTGAGGAAAACTGGAGCTCCATTTTGGGATTGATAACTTCCCTATGGGAAGGCATTCACTCTAAAGAAGCACTATTATATTTGTTTATATTTGTATACCTGCTCATCTCATTGCATAATTATTTTACTCAATCATATGAGCACCATTGAAACAGTGTGAATGCTAGTGTGTGGTTGCTGTTGGACCAGTGATGAATATGGAACATACTGGCAGTTCAGAAAGAGCAAGAGTGAACTTGGAATATACAAGGAACACACCACATGGTGCAATACCCAGTGTTACTACAGTTTTGTGGCGTACTCTGTATGTATTCACAACCAGTATTTGTTTTAAGACTGTCTTCTTAGCCATGCACCTGGAGAGCTTTTACTAATTCAGTAATTTATTGTAATTTTTTTAAAAAAACAAATTAATGTGATTTTACATTGGTTTTTGTCTGATCAATCATGTATTCAATAAATGAACAGAATCACACATAAGACTTCTTTTTCCTTTATTTCAACTTCAGGACCATTTTTTAAAAATGCCTGTTCTCTTCCACAGTTCCTCATTTTTTCATATGCATTACAATGGCCTTTGGGAAAAATATGTGAAATGAATAGCCATGTGATCGGGGGACACAAGCAATTTTGAAGTTTTCTTGTGTGCGTAGAAATAAAACTTGCAAGCTATTGAAGCAGGGCTTTTTTTCAACTGGAACTCAGTTCCGGCACCTCTCAATTGGGTGCCATTGCCATTATAAGAGAATGAGGGAGGTTTTCATGTTGAGTTTTGGCACCTCTTTTTCTAGAAAAATAGCACTGTAATGAAGACCTTGAGTATGTTTAATGGCATTGAATCATCTTGACTGTAGGAATTGCTTGTAACTGGCTACTACACAAGCATCCCTTCACTTGATGACTGCAGCATCAAGTGATGAGTTTACTGCAGAAATGGGCCACTAGACATAACATTTTGATACCGTCTCAAATGCAAATGGTTTCAGCAGAACCAGCTGATACATGCAGCTACCATTCATCAAATGTACAGAAAAGAACATATGTATGTAAGCCTATAAAGCAGAGATCTTACAAAAATAGTGCCAGCCTCACAAACTGGGATGTAAAGAAATGTCAAATCTTCACTCTGCCCACTAGATGGCATATAAACAAAGTAAAAAGGATGCATGAAATCAGTTGCTCTGATAAACTGGAGGGGAATGGGGAAAACCTGGGACCCTGCTACCTGGGTATAAAGTCTACAGGAAGGATAATTGTCATAAGCCACTCTTAGTCTCCTGACCCACCCCATCTCTCAGCCTCGTCCCTTCCACCCGTAAAATGGGGATAATAATACTCATTTTTGTTCAGTCGATTAGTCGTGTCTGACTCGTCATTACTACTTAATTAATCCTGGATTTCTCGCTGCCTCCTGCACACAGCTGTTTTGCTTTTTATCACCCCCCCAAACGCCGCCGGAGGGTTCAAAGGTAACCAGGAAATCACTCCGCGGCCAAAACAACTCTGCCTCTCGAGGGGAGCCCTTAGTTAATGGAGGAACCTCGTCCCCGCCCATCCCAATTAGATCCTGCACGAGGCCAATGAAAAGCAGTAGGAAATGGGGAGGAGGAACCTATCTGCGCGTCGCGCGCCATTTCCCGCCAAATGTTTGGGCTTAGCGGGAAGTGTCCTGCTGCTGAGGCGCTTGTCAGTCCCTCTCGCCCCCTGGGAGAGATGGAAGGTCTGTGTTTTTCTTTCCCATGCGAGTGAAGAAGCTGCGCTGACTGAGAGCAGTGTCCCTGATGGCTCAGCAGTTTCAGGTGCTGAGGTGCTGCTTCTGCAACGTCTTCCAAGTCCAGCAGGTGAGGCCACGCGGGAGCGGGACCTGCCGGCTGGAGCGCGCGGGCTACTTGAACCCGAGCTCTGTCCTCCTCCGGCTCACAGAACAGATGAGTTGTAGAATTGGAAGGGACCCCCAAGAGTCATCTAGTCCCATACAAGACGCTAAAAGTAATTCAAAAGGTGGTCAACAGACACAAGTTGAGGTTTTGCAAGCTGGCTTTGCCTTCAGGGCAAACTTGGGCATTTCCATCACTACAGTCAGTGCTTTTTTTTTCCTTCAAAAAAACCCACAACAAACACGTTTAGGGGTACTCTCACTTTGACTCAAGAAAATCACCATTTTATAGTTCAAATCGGGAAAAATAAATACAGTAAATGGACAAAAGTACAAAGATTATTTCAACATGTTTAGGGGTATGTGTACCCCTGCACCCCTCCAAAAGCATTGGCCACAGTTACACAAAGGTTGTTGCTACAGGTCTGAAAGTCTGAAGTGGACCAAAATGTATTACAGGGCGGGGGGAGGTGTTACCCTTTCTTAGAGACCAGTGGTCTCCAAGTAAATATAAATATAGTACTAAATATAAATATAGTACTAAAAACCAGCATCTTGTGTTATTGGGGTACTATCAAATCATTGTGCATCATTCACTGGCTGCAGCAAGTGTTCCCAAACTGGTCAACAGGCCACCTGTGGTCCATGAGCTTCATTTAGGTGGTCTGTGGTGTCTCTGGATTTGTGTTTGAAGATGAGAAATGGCACATCCATTGCATGTTAGATACTTGCATTGCTTTTTAATTGTATTTATTTTGCTTCTGTATATTTTATTGTATTATAATTTGAATTCTATGGTGATACAGTAACACATGAAATAGGAAATAAAAGAAGCAATAAAAATACAATTAAAAATCATAACAGCATTTAGCACAGCACATTACCAATTGCTGCAACAGGCAGAAACATTAATTGGCCTGCCAATTTTCTACAATTTTCAATTGGTCCACGTGGAAGAAAGCTTGGCAGCCACTGGGCTAGAAACTCCTTTTATTTTATTTGCCTTCCATGTACTTTGACTTGAACCAGCTGCAGCTATTTATTCTGCCACTGCCATTCTGCAGTGCTCCTGCTCCCTGGTCAAAGGATGAGTGGGGCAACTTTTCTTCTGTCAAAGGCCACATTACCTTGGACGGAATCCGCCAGGGGCCACATGTTAGCAGTGGATTAGGCAAAAAGAGACAATATTATTCTGGATGTGTTTTCCAGAATAAAGATAGTCTTGCTTCAGTTTTAACTGTGGCCAAAATTAAGGAGGAAACAAGCAGGAAGGAACAAATGCTGATTGGATGGAAGAATGGAGCAGCTTTGGGAGGGACTCGGGGCTGCATAAAATCTAATGAGTGCAAGGCAGTCAGATGTGGCTTATAGCAGACTGTAGCCTGCATTGCGCATGCCCCAATCTGTAGAATGGTCACTGTTGCATTTCGTCTTTAAAGAGTTGTGATTCCTTCGGCCATTAAATCTATGGATTATGATTGAATTATGGCCAGGTGTTCTGTGATACCATGATTTTGCCACACAAATGTGGTATTTAGTACTTACTGGATGGAAAAGTAAGCATTCTTCTCAGTGAGAAGACAGTAAATTAGACAAGCTAAGCAAGTCAATAACAATTAACTTTGTTGACATAATTCAGGCAAGGTGAAGCGTTCAAATGATGGTGCACAATTCTGATATACTTTTTTTTAAATTAGGTAATACAAAAGAATACTAAGGGGGAAAAGGAACAGAAAACCTACAATAAACAATTCTGATATACGTATAAGTGCACAGTACACACAACACTCTGATCATAGACCTGTTCTTGAGCCCCTTAAAATACGCACTTGGCTTTTTTTGAAAATTGATGAATAGTTACAGAAACATGCACAGTGGCGAATGTTTCACCCATGTAATATGAATTGTGTGGGTTATTAAAGAATTATATCTGCAATTCTGTCTTAGATCAAAAAGAGCCAAAAATGGAATTGCAAAGTATGTGATGAAAAGCAGTCAGTTCTAAAGGTGAGTACCCACAGTTCCTTTTTTTAAGTCCTGCTATCAATGAACTGGCATTTTAGTAGGTGGATTCTTTTTCCTCAGATTCTCAAACTGCAATCCTACACATACTTAACTAGGAACAAGTCTCATTGGATTCAGTGGGGCTTACTGCTGCAGTGACATGAATAGGATTTTGCTGTATTAGAATTAGAAATCTATGTTACCCACATTAATCTCTTTTTTTTAAAAAAAATCTCCTTATCTTGCAATAGGAATCTGTTCACATAATCTGCTGTTAAAAATAGCAGTGGAGCGTTTCTGTTTTTTCTGGTACCTCCTCAGCTAGAAGAAATTTTAATACGTTATCACGTTGATGATAAAAAAATGTGATCCAAATATAGTACTATAGGAGAGCTGCTATAAAACATGTATTGGAAGAAGGGAGTCGTAGTAATTATTCTGATTATATAAACTATGTGGAGGTTATAGTACACAAAGAAGAGTATACTGCATTCTTTGCTAAAGTGTGGAGTGATAAGATGTACAGTGCAAGTTTGTTAAAGCAATAGGTTGTATATATGTCAGATTTACAAACAGGAAGTGCCCATTATTAAGTAATGTCCCTGGGACTAGGGCCTCTCAGATATAGCTATGATTCTATTTCCTTGCCAATATAACATTAAAGAACTGTGAAAATAAGTGTTAACAAAACTTTTGTTACTTTAGATTTTTGGTCAGGGTTCTGGATCTGATTGCAGGCGCCATGTACAAAAACTCAATTTGCTACAAGGACAGGTAGAGCAGGGACCTACAGAAATGCTTAGGTATGGTATTAACTTATTATTTGCTGTTTTGTGTCTGTATACATTTGCATTATAATTTTCATTCTAAATTACATATAATGGGTGGTATCAAGCAAAGTCATACTCGGAGTAGACCCATTGGAATTAGTGGACTTAAGGTTACTTAATTCCATTGATTTCAATGGGTGTATTCTGAGTACATCTATCACCCAATGGATTTTAATTAGAAATGTTCAGCAATGCTACAATAGTCAACTGCAGTGCAAAGATTTAATGTGATTAAAATAATGCTTCTGCTCTCACTTAGTTAATTCCAATCTGGACTAGCAAGCTTCCAAATTCAGAAAGGTGACACGATGTCCTATTTCTGTGGAAATAGGTTCAATAACTGCTTAAAATGCTATGATTACTATGATCAAGGAGTGGAACTGTTGACAACACTTCAGTTTAAATCTGAAACAATCCTTTAGACCAGCTGCCTAAAATTATTTGTTGCAGTAATTGAGGTTTTGTTGAGACCATAGGTACTGATTTGGCTAGCAGGATTTATGCACACCATCTTAACATTTTTCATGGCATGTTGTATCAGATTTCCTTTGTTCCATTATTAACAATTATTAATTACCACAGTTGCATTTTCTAAAGGTGTGGATGTGGGTGAGAGTCAAGTCAATTTTTATTGTAAAGGTCTTTACAACGAATGACAGAAAATAAAAGGAAAACTTTCCTCTAAAATTGTAAAATGTAGCCTGCAGCAATTTACAACATAAAAAGAAATTTACAACATTAAATTTTAAAATTGGAGTGCATTCACATAGCTGGAACTGTGCAAATTTGGTTACTGCTTGTGTAATATATGCAGTCATACCTCGGGTTAAAGACGCTTCGGGTTAAATCTTTTCAGGTTGCATCCCACGGCGACCCGGAAGTAATTGAACGGGTTACTTCCGGGTTTCGCTGCTCGCACATGCGCAGACGCTCCAAATGACATCATGCGCAGAAGCGGTGAATCGGGGCATGCGCAGACGCAGGTTGCGTTCTGTTCAGGTTGCAAAGGGACTCCGGAACGGATCCCGTTCGCAACCAGAGGTACCACTGTAGATGTTTATCCGCTAGGAGTTCAACTGTCACTTTTTGTGCAGATTGACCAGGAAGCCAATTAAGAATTGGAGATATAAATTTTCCTCAGGGCGTCGTATACAAGGGGGAAATCAGCAAATAGTGTGTGATGTCTTCTACCTCTATACTTACCTGTCAGGGGAGACACCTTGATCATGTGGGTGAGAGAGAGACCTGATGCTTTGCAGTTTGTGCTCACATTTCAGTACATATGAACTCTAAAACACACACATTTATATAGTGATATAACATTAAGTGCATTGATTATTTTCAGATCTATGGAAGAACCAATAAAGAGAGATGGTGAGAACACAATAGTTAAACTGGAAGAGAATTCGGGCGGGCAGGTAAACCCCTTTGGATTAAATAAAGTGTATCTTCAAAGCCAAAATTGAAGGACAACCAGTCACAAGTCCTTAAAATACAAATCAAGGAAAGGAGATGACAGTTTAGCTGACTCCCCCCCCCCCGATACTCTCAGGATTTATTTTTGTGTAAATGTTTACAACAGTAATTTATCCATTTGTTTAGTTAAGTAAGGATTCATTTCTCCATGTGACATTGGGCAACCTTTGTTTTTACTGCATATTAGCAGGATTGTGTAAACGTCATGGTTCATCAGAACACAGAAAAATGTGTGGGGAAAATGGTTCATCAGAACACAGAAAAATGAGGATGGGCTTGAATAAACACAGGCAGATCCTATTGAAATCTTAGAAACCTGGGGTACTAATTAGAAACAATCTAGTGCCCTTCATAGCTCTTGTCCTTCTCCATGACAAGCAAAACCAGAATAAATGCATCTGAGTTTGCATAATTCACCAAATTCAGCTTTTCTTGGTACTTGAGATGGCTGGACAGTAGTAGTAGCAGTGGTATTAATAAAAATAATCATTATCAGGTTTCTTGCTATGATTAAAACAGATCACTAAAGCAACAGAGCATTTAGTCTGAGATGGATAGTGAGTTAGGACTCTCGATAAGACATTCTGTAATTTTTCTAGGAGGAAAAGGTAAAGTTGGTCAGCCGCTGGACTAAATATCTCGATGGAAGATGTGAAGAGCAAGCGAAGGAAGATGAGGAGGAGATAATGGTGCATACAGAAAAACAGAGCTACTCTTCCAAGAACACACTAAGGTGGATATGTAGTAGTTTCTTATTTTTACATTGTAAGTAATGGTGCCTTGTTTGAACATGCCAGAATGCTATAAATGAATCACAAGGTTCATCTAAGAGGTACTTGCTTTTTCTCTCCATGGTGCTTTGTGTGAATTCATTGGACCACTTTTAATCTTGTTGCACCTGCTAGGAAGTGTCAGAAGACCAGCTTGCACAATTCCCAGGGGTCTAGAAAAAGGAGAGCTTCTGGATTTGCAAAGGATGACCTACGTTTTGAGGTATTGCTCTTTCTCCAAGATAGCAAATACTTAATCTTTTATAGTATGACAGGACCCTCTTTTAAATGTCATAAAAGTTTCACTCGTGTTGTATTCCCTGCCTTGTTGCTTCATTGGGTAGAACTCAAATCTGCCTAACTACCATGGCTCTTCTCAAAGCAGCCTACCAAATGAGTAGAAATTACATTAGTGAGCACTTTCAGTATAATCAAAATCTCATTGAAAGTGCAAGGTGGTGTTCGTATACACATCCTAACCAACTCTTTTATCCGACAAATCAAGTTTACAGTATTTGTTGCCAGTGAATTGGCTTTTTACTTATCATGCAGTGGGCCTGTCAAGGTTATTGCAGCCATTATATGAGGTCCTACTCTAAATATTTTTCCACCATGCAACAAGTGTACATCTATACAGGATGCAATGTTAACCTTGCTATGGAAGAGCTGGATTGTCAATGAGTATCAACTTAAAGAATGCATGGAATGCCTGCAGGATCAGCCAGTGGCCTAAGTCCAGCATTCTGTTCTCACAATTTAATATCATCAGGAAACTTGGCAACCTCACTGCTCACTCCTAACTCTAGATCCTTTATGAACCAGTTAAAAAGTACAGGTCCCAATACCAGTCCTTTAAGGACTCTGCTTTCTACATGTCCATTCAGAGAACTGTCCGTTGATTTCTATTCTCTACTTCCTGCTCCTCAGCCAATTATTGATCCACAAGAGAGTCTCTCATTGCTTTACCATTAAGCTTACTCAGGAGTCTTTGGTGAGGTACTTTGTCAAAAGTGTTTTGAAAGCCCAAGTACATTATATCAACCAGATCACCTCTATATGCTTGGTGAAACTCTCAAAGAACTCTTAATAGGTTTGTAAAACTGGACTTGCCCTTGCAGAAGCCAATGCTGGTTCTGCTTCAGCAAGGCTTCTTAGCAAGCTGTGCAGTTGCTTTCTGAATCAGAGGAGAATGTTCTGTCTTAATAACAGAACCACCACCTGTGGTGCCTGTTACTTCCCTGCAGATAGGTTGACCACTTACTTACCCACCTTAGAACAGACCAACCCATGTAGTCTAGCTGAGTGTGCAACAGAGCAGAAGAGCTACACATGCATCAGATAAAGAGTAACATTACTTATTTGCAATCTGGCATTTCTGATTATTTCAGTCTCTTGCTTTTTATTATAGAACAGAAAAGATTCAGCCACAGTAGCTAAAAAACCCTGTGGAGATGATACATCTGGAAATGTGATTCCTGCTGTCAAAGAGCATCTGGTGTGCCAGAAGAATAAAGATTCAGAGTCAAGAGCTGCTGGACTTTCAAAGTGGGAGAAATTCCTTTTATCTGGTAAGAGTTGTAATAGTGGCAATGAAACTGCCATGATGCAAGAGAGGCAGGGAACGCTAGTCCAAACGTTTGCTGCAGGGACAAGTGCTGAAAGGCCAGCAACCTTCAGCCCCTGTAATTGGAATCATGCATCCATTCCACTAGCTGAAGTGCAAAAGTTCTCCAACACTGAACATGTTCCCCTAGCTGACATGCCTGTGGGAAGAGGGAAACACTTTCCTCCTTTGACTAATGTTCATCTTCAAGAAAAACTGCTTAATAGGCTGCCTGAACAGCAACCTGCTCCTTTTTTAAATACTCTTATTAGTGTCTCAGATTCAAAGAATCTGCATAGAAACCTCTTTTCTACAGGAGATGACTTTGATGATGATATTTAAATGCTCTTTTTTCTTCCCAACACTTTTTTTATCATCATTAGTCTATGTGAGATGACTTAGAAGAATAAACTGTAGCCTGACCTAAGTCACAGAGCTATGTTGTATAATAAAGAAGATTGTACTCAAATACTGTCAATATCTTTGGCATGTAGGGCTTCTATGATGTTGTTTGTCATTTGTGGTGAAAAATGTGGTGTCGCGACAAGACTTTAAAACAAGTAAAGCAGTATTCATTGTATACTATGTATAGGCAGAAATTTCTAAAAAGGCGTTTTTCTGCATTGGGGCTAGCTTTGTTTTCTCTTGCATACAAGGAGGGAATTTTCTTGTATCTGGTTCTGTAGTGGGAGTAGGAGGAGGAATGCTGGCTCAGGTGGTGCTGAAACTTGTATGTAGCTGTAGTTCAGGCATCATCCCTAGCTAACAGGACCAGTGGTCAGGGATGATGGGAATTGTAGTCCCAAACATCTGGAGGGCTGGAGTTTGCCTATGCCTGCTGTAGTTAACAAATCAGCGTCACTGTTGATTAACTTGTCTCAGAATGTGACAGAATTCTCAGGTCATGGGCTAAACCGCAACAATGGTAGGCCTATGTATTTAAAACTTTGCTTCATCACACCTTTTGTCAGCTGCCTTCATTTCTCATGACTCAGGTAGACAAGCTGCAGCCAGTCAATGCAAGGCCTCAGCAACCCCACTTGCAGATTTTTGCTATTTGTCCTTGACATGTTCACCATGATTAGGAGAATTTCCTCTTTAAAGATACAGTGGTACCTCGCAAGACGAATGCCTCGCAAGACAAAAAACCCGCAAGACGAAAGGGTTTTTTGTTTTTTGAGCTGCTTCGCAAGACAATTTTCCCTATAGGCTTGCTTCGCAAGACGGAAACGTCTTGCAAGTTTGTTTCCTTTTTCTTAACACCGTTAATACAGTTGCGACTTGACTTCGAGGAGCAACTCATAGCACGCGGTGTGGTAGCCTTTTTTGAGGTTTTTGAAGACTTTGGTGATTTTTGAAGCTTTTCCGAAACTTTTCCGACACCGTGCTTCGCAAGACGAAAAAAATCGCAGAACGAATTAATTTCGTCTTGCGAGGCACCACTGTATAAGAGCTGCTGCTTAGCTTGTGCAGCTGTGGAATACAAGGTCCCGAGTACAGTAACCGATTACAGAAAGTGCCACAAATGTAATGTGAAATGCAAAACGGCCTTTCAGCCAAGTTTCCAAAACCATTCCTTTCCGTAAAAGCAAGGCTTGCAGTTGATTCACCACCTGAGGGTAAAAAAACCAGAAACCAGACGAGCTATCAGAACTTGTGCCTGATGGCATCCATTGTTTTGAGTACTGGCACCTACCAAGTATCTTCTGCAATATGAAGTATTACCACAAATTAGACACACTACTGAATTAAGCGGGGAAAGTTAATGCGAATCTTTATTGATAGTATGAACTTAGAATATGGAAAGACAATCAGAGCCTTGCAGGGGCCAAAAGATATAAAAAGGTAGGCTACTCAGTTGCAGCAGCCTTAACAATTTGCTTTAAGAATTATGAATTACACAGGTGCTATTTGGAAGTTTTTGCTTGCTTGGCATACTGGATGGTATCCAGAGCTGCCCCAATGTCGTAGTTCTTGGAATGCAGCAGGTGAGTGAGCCAGCCTCCTTCATCAGAAAACCCCATTGACAACATCTGGGACAAGGATTCAATGAGACGGGGGTCTGCTTCTGTAAATAAGTAGAAATAGGATTAGTTGACCCAGCTATCCTACAACCTTGCCTACATCCCATCCCCAATCTGCAAATCCACAGCTGGCTGTTTTAAGATGGGGTGGGCAATTGACTATGCCTAGGTTGTGTTCTCTAAAAACTGGACCCTTACAAACTTTATCACAAAAAGTTACCAATAGGAAGACCAGCTGAGGCTGATCTTGATTAGGTAACAATCTTTCTAGTTATCCTGGCAACCCGTGATGGTTATAAAGCCCTGAACAGCTCAAGACCTGCAGACAGGACTTTCTGGTATCAGGCAAAGACATTTGCTTGGGAATTCAAGCAGCTCATATAAACTAGTTTTGGGGCTATTGTTTTATTGTATTTTAGTTGTATGTTGTCATGGAAGCTTATACTGAAATGCAGCTAACGAACTTTCTACACACTTGAGTTCAAGTGACCAATTTGTCTTCTAAATACTACTACTGAAGAGATGTGACTCAAATACAATCCTATGCATGTCTACTCCAGACATAAGCTCACTGAATTCAGTGGCACTTACTCTTGGGTAAGGGGATGCAGGTTTCAGCAAGTAACATGTAATATTAGTCTGTACCCAAGGCGAACAGGATTTGATTTCCTAACATGCCAGAACTGTATATAGCCTTCCAATCTCTTTTTTTTACCTGGTGGAAGATGAGGATAGAGCGCGGCCTCTCGCAGTCCTGTTGGTCCTGTGTTAGTGGGAGCTTCAGCTGGATTCAGAGAGCTTGGGTTGTCACTCTCTGGCATTTGTAAGGACTGCAGTTCACCAGTTGAAGGGTCTACTTCCTTTGGAGACAAATGGGTCCAGTCCTCATCTGCCCCTGAACTGCTGCTGGATTCAGCTGGTTCCTGGGATAAAAAAGACACAATGTGGAGAGCCTGTTTTAGAATAACACAAAGTACTCCTTAAAAGACCTGCGCCTAATGAAGTTACTTACCAATAGCACATATATTTTGCTCACTGGCTATAACTAACTTATAATTCCCCAACACTAAAGTTTTCTGCCTCCCTCACCTTAAGGAATATTGTGGGTTATACTTTCTCTAGGATTTTCCATGACTGCTAAACAGACATTTGATGCCCAAGAAAACACATCAAATGCAACATTGCTAACCACAACCTTCCACGAAAATTTTAGCCACTTCAGTGTGTATTACAGATCTAGCTTCACATCTAAAACTTCTATACATGCTGATGTTACTAATCTGTGGCTTTAAACATACACCAGAAAAATGGATTTCCACATGTACAATAGTACTTCCTCCTCCCTCTCCAGCACCTCCACACTCAACACTGGAAGACCCTCAAGAACAAGTGTAAGTGAGGAGCTGCAATGGGAAGTCCTCTTGTGCAAGTGGAAGTCCACATGTGATAATGAATTTCACCCTGTCTTACCAAACATCTCTTGCTCAATTATATACTCTTGATTATTTTCAGGATATCTAGCATGGGTTTTTTCCCCCAGTCCTGAAGCTAGAAATATACAATATGTTGCCTTTTCAGAGCCTAATGTCCACCAGGAAAACCGAACAAAGAATGCCCTGCCAAGTAACCATGCATACTCAGAATTCAGTTGGGCTGACTCCCACCTAAGCAGGGTTAGGACTGCAGCTTCAGTTTCTTTGGAAATAATACATTTTTTTCTGTTGCATGTTATTGTACAGAGACTAGAAGATTACCACTACTCATGACCATCTCTAAATAAATTTGTACTCTCTTGCATAGGAAAATGAAAGATCAATTTAAGTTCCTAATATAAAAAGCATCAGTGCTGATCTTAGTGACAAGCATACAGTGAACAGTGTGTACATCTTTACCCTACTGACTGCACATTTCGGAAGTGACAGTTTAATCTTCATACTCGTACCTCTGACAAGAGGTTCTCCTCTTCCATCTGTGTAGCAGGAGAATGTACTGCCATTTCCTGCAGCTGGTCTGTAAGAGTATCTGCATCTGCAGCTGGTTTGCTGCTGGTACTTGCTTCTGGTCCGGTCTGGTCACTGGAACCTCTCTTCTCAGAACTAGGTTCTGTACTAGGTGACACTTTGCTCCTCTGTCCCTCATGTTCCACATCAATATCAACATCAATACCTAGAAAAACAATTTAAACGTTGGAAGCTGGTGATAATCTGCAATCAGTTTATGTTTCTGTCTACATCTACATCTCTAGGGATTTGAATACAGTCTTCTCGGATGGATTCCCCTCCCCTTAGAATGGCAACGGTTTGCTATTCTGAAGGTCAGACAAAAGTAGCTCTCCAATAACCTTATCCAGGGATTGTGGATAGAAGTTTCATGTTCCCACTGAGCAATCACTGGGGAGAATGTGAAGACTGATAGCTGGTTGATATGAGAGAAGATGGACAATGTGCCAGCTATTCTGTAACATTCACCTACTGCTGACTGACCTGCAGTGCCAACTTTCTCCTCGGACTACATTGCTCTACAACAGCTTAAAGTATTTATAGTCTGCCTTTGCACAGTGCAGTCATACATCTGAAGGACAATCACCTTCAACAAACTCAAAAATCAGAGCACAGGTCCAGGAGATGCCCACTTTTGCCTTTATGTTTTTCCTATGTAATGGCAATCAGTATTTGAGAAGACAAACACAAATGAAACACTATTGCTAGGACCACTCCCCCCCCCAAAAAAAAGCTTAACCATAGTATTAGAAGACTTTGACAAAACTATTTGGGAGGAAAGTGTAAGGCAAAATAGCCAACTAAACAGAAGACCCACATGTCCTGTATAGGTGACAGATACCGTAATGGCACAGTACTGTAACACATATCCTTTTGATAGTGGCAGAAAGCAGCTAGTAAGAGACCCAATTGATCAAACCAAAGAAGGCTACTTAAACCATTTGATATTTCTGAAAGCTCACATGCAGAGTATGAAGGCAAATCATAGGTGAAAGCAGGCAATAATAGCCAGATGAAAGCAACTGCTTACCAAGTGGACCCAGAAATGCAGCAACACTTTCTCCAACATTCTTCAAAAAGGTGACATTGGGATCTTGAGATTGACTGCTAGAAGCTGTTTTTAATAAGGGGGGGGGGGAAAGTTACTAATAGATCTTGTAAGAGAAAAGTTGGATTCACAAACTCAGTTTCTTTTAGCTCCTAATTATGATTTGATTTATAACTCAATGTAGCATTCTTAAAGGAGATCCTGAACACATCTATTCAAAAGTAAGTTCCTGAAAGCAATGACTTTGGGACAGAGTGTGCCTTTTTATTTTGCATTTACAAACACCATTAAGGTCATTAGAAAGCTAAATGCATACCTTGCTCAGGAGCAGCACTCTGAGAAGTGCTACCTTGTGCCTGGCCAGGGTTTTGACACTTGCGGGCAGGACAAGGGTGACCACAGCCTTGCATCCATGCAAAAGGTGAAACACCATGTTTCATCTTACGAAGCCAGCGACCTCTGGGAAGCCACTAAAGGATAAAAGAACATGCTGTTAGGGGTAACTCTCGCTTTAGAAAATAGTTGCAATTCGTCTTAGGCAAGATGATCTTTACAGCCCCCTCTGGGCAACTGCTTTTTCCTCATATTACTTACCTCAAATGGATGGAGCAATGGACTCTGAAACATAATCATGTTATGTTCCTTATGGATACCTTTTCCCTCACAAGTACTGCACAGGTCATAGTCAGGACAAACAGTGCATTTGAATCTTGCACCCGCAACTGGGCCATCACAACCATCACAGATCACGTTGGGATGCACCATGTTTGGTGGGCGCTCCTGGCTGCAGGATTGGCGGTGCAGGTGGTCACGCTTCAGCTCCTTTTTCTCTGAAGGACACAAACACAGGGTGTTGCTGAAATATGCCCAAGATAAATGAACCAATACCCATCGAGCTGCAGAACTAGACAGTTGTAAAAGGACAGAAATGGAAGCGTGCATACTTTATTCACCCCTGCACCTCCAACTTTGTTTTGCCCAGAAGTGAACTGAACAATTTCTCAGAAAAGCCTTTAGTGTCTGCCACTACCTCTCTCCAGTGTGTTTGTGGTGTGGATAACCATGAACATAGAGAGTGTCAAATCAGTATTTGTATACAGAGGATGACAATAGATGTAAAAGTCACATTCTGCAAAAAGTGACTGAAGCATCGTTTTCAGAAATGTTGACAACCCAGCTCATCGAGGACTTGTTTGTTATGATTGATCGTAACTTTGTTTTCCTATCAAGTTGCACCACAGACTACTGTAGCCAACTCTGATTTTTTTAAATCTTCAAATATGTTATTCATGGCACAGTTTGTACCAGCAGACAAGATATCCATGAGTTCCAATTACCAGAGATACATATGACTTACTTTTTTTCTATTTCCAAAGGAGAGTAGCCACTAAGTCTTTTTCTCAGCATGGCTCTTGCTGTAACCCGAGATTATTGTTATTGATATACTTTGCTCACCAGCAGTCTCTGCTATCCAAGTCTGCAAAATGCCTTCTCTATTATATCCTAAAACTTTTTTAAAAAACCAGACTCAGTTTTCCATCAGGGCTACCAATAACTTTTCCTATTCTAACCTTCCCAATTTTGGGGGTTTCAACATCTGCTCTGCAGGTAGGAATGGGCAGGGAACAATGATAAGCAGAGGGTTATACAATATATACCCATTCTGCATATTTAAGAATGTTCTAAATATGGGTTCTCATAGGTTATGAATATAAATGCTCATTCTTATTTCAGGCCTTTAAAACCACCAATTCCAATATTGGGGAAAGTTAGAGAAGGCAAATTCTAGATCTCTTAGCCTATCACCACTCCTCTCTTAGCATGCTGTTCTGGTGGATACTCACCCTTTCCCATGTGTCTGGCAATGTCTCATTTCTTGCAGAAATCTAGCATGAAACTGCCAATTTCTGTCCAACTGAGCTTTCTTTTAGTGTGTGGCTTGTGCCCCATTGGTACGCAACAGCTTTGTTAGGAGGAATTTCAAGCCTCTTGGCTTGAAAGCCTGGTCATGTAAACTTTGGATCAGCTATATGCTTCTTGTTACAATTCTTCAACAAATCTCCTTTACTAGAGTTTCTATGGGAAAGGCATAATCTCCTATTGGCCTAGTTTATGGGCTCTACCACCTCAGACTGCTGCTGCATTCCAACTATACATTGGTATTAGTTGAAAAACAAAATTACACATGTCAAAAGTAGCTTGGAACAATGGTCATTGAAAGAATAAGGGCAGAATGAGAAATGGGGGAAGTCTACTTCAAGGGATTTAAATGCAGTGGCCAACAAACCACCCTTGTACTGGCTCTGGGTGAATTTCTAGTTTAAGACTGGTTTTGCCAATGGAGTTTAAATTCCCATTAAGTCACTGGGGTTCATAGATTCTCACCTTACTCTCAAGTGATATTTCCTGTAGCAGCCATTCTCATGAAACACTAGCTTGTTAAAAGCTGTGTCTTAAGTTGTGTAGTGCAAAAGCTGTGAAATGCAGGGATGTTTTTCCCTCTTGAACGAATTATAACTACTAGAATACATTACAAGATAGCTGCCAAAAGCAGTTAAGAGAGAATACTAAATTGGCTAAGATTACCCTTAACATAAATGCGAAAAATCCCATCTTTCACACAAGGCAGGGCCAGCTTCAGTTCTTCATCACTGGAAAAAGCAATCATATCTCCATCTTCATCTGAAATAAGAACACAGTTAACTCACTTTGACAGCAGATACTCAGCCTTATCCTGAAATTTCTGACTAGGGCAGCAGAAAACACTGTTGGACTCGATATGTACTCTGCCTTCCTCTTGTTGGGCTGTATGCAAGTCTGTTGTTAAGAAAGTTGCCTAGCGCCATCTGCATGGGTGGCGAAGTATCCTTTGGTTACACATTTATTTCACATAGCAAAGTAGTGCTTTCAGAAGACAGATTTACAGCTTTTATTCAGTTACTTGAATTAAAATCTAAAGGCAAATAAGCTTCAGATTGCAGGCTATGTAATGCAAGCTAGCTCTGATGAAAGAAATGTAACCTTCCACTGAAAAAGCTATGCAGTTCTCAGCTACCAACTGAATTACTGTTTCAGCAGCTGATCTCTAGTAAAGATGCACCGATGCTTTAGGCAGTGATTTATACAAAGCTATTAAAAAGAGCAACCTTCCCAGACCTGGTGGCCTCCAGCTGTTTTTGGACTACAATTCCCATCGTGCCAGATCAGGACAAGTTTTATTGGAGGTTTTATTGTTAATGAAAGCAGCAACAGACAATAACCTCCTAGCACCTGATTCTTGAGATAAGAAAAACCTTCATTTATGTTTCATTTAATGGGAATCAGCATTCCTTTCAAGGGGACATTAAAAGCAGCATGCACTGTCAGTAGTACCAAAAAATAAGGGATTGCTAATCAGTTCTGACCTTCAGGCAGGACTGAAACCAGCGCACAACATGCATGCAGGTACAAAAGCCATTTGCTACCTTTCCTCATAATTGGGAAGCCCAGGCATTACCAGGTTGCCTTCTGGAAGTAATACTTAATGGAATGACAGAGCATCTGCGTTGCATGCAGAAATGCTGCTGTAAAGGCTAGGAGACCTGTCTGAAATCCTGGCAAGCCTCTGCCAGTAAGTTTTAGAAATACTGAGCCAGATGGACCAACAGTCTGATAGTTTTCTACGCTCTTGTGTACTCAGACATCACTCTCTGAAAACTACAATACACAGTGTAGTTCTCTCACACACATTATACTCTTATATACCAATAGTCATGAGTGGTTTAAAAAACACTTCTTTTGAAATTGTGCAAGACTTGCAGGACTGACAGAGCTCCCTAGAAGAAATTCTGGTTGCTACAGGAATATCCCAGTATGATGTAACTGCCCAAGTGTACAAACATGCTTAAACAAATATTTACAGCTGGGTTGCAGTTGGATCACTGTGCAGCGTTACGCAATGGCACTTATTTTAAATGAATTTATGAGAAGTATCAGTGAGCTCCATATCCTATCGTGTCATATCTTACTACTTAGGGGATCCCACCACCCTCAGGAAACACATTGACAATTCCCAAGCATAAATTTGGACACCAGTAGCTAGAACCATATTAACACCTGCAGTGGCAGTCCCTTCTTCACAGTGGAGACTCTGCTGCTTATGTCACTCCTCTGTGTGCCATACTTTTTGCCCAGATTGTTGAAGAGCATATTCAAGATAACTTAGCTTCACGCCATGGGTCCCTTGATACATATCAGAGCAAAATTCCACACCACCGCACTGTGTGTATGAGTATCAATAATGCAACCACACGGAACCTTCCTATTTGATTAATGTCTACCCTCCCAGGCACTGATTAGTTGGGAAGAACTGGGTCACCCACAAATTTTTGGTTATTTGTATGCATGAGACAACAAGAACTATGTTAATTGCATGGTGGGACTAGAAATGAGCAACTGAAACCAGATTTAGAGTTGGAGCACTTAAAGAGTAGCCACACACTATAGAGTCTTCCCTCTCCCCACCCAACCTCAACAGGTGAATTCAGGTTGTTACCTGTAGTGAGGTTTAGTGAGACATAGCTAGTAGCAGTTTTAGTGCTCAGGCCTCAACACTGGAGGAATAAACTGTGTGGAAAAGACTGCCTCTGAACTAGTACAGAGTGCCTTTTCTTATACATTATCAGAGACAGCTTCCATTAGCAAGTAAGGCTTCTAGACTAGGGAGTGTTGCTTCCTAACAGACCTGAACTCCAAATCTTATTTCGTTTAGAGATTAAGAGCTGGTTTGAGCAAGTATAGCAGAAGGGTGTGACAACTATGATAGGTTAATGAGCAAAGAATATATTGTTAGCTTTGCCTTTTATGCACACAGGCACTGGACAAAACCTCCAACTGCTTCTCCATTGCACAACGGAGTCTGGGAAACCTTGACCTGTTGATTTCAGCCCGACAGGCAGCAATAACGGCTACACAGAGCCCTGCCTCCCAGATCTAGCATGAAAAGCCTTAGGACTATCAATTCACTAAAGCAGAGGCGCCTTTTAAAGGTAAACACCTTTTTCCTGGCCTTGCTGTGGTACCTTGAACCACAGCGAAGCTTTTCCCAGACCCGGCGATCAAGTGACTGAAAAAAGTTCCCCAGGCCGGATTTCATGGAATCATAGAATTGGAAGAGAATTATAGAGCTGGGTCATCTAGCCCAACCCCTGCGATGCAGGATTCTCAAATCCATGACAGGTGGCCATCCAACCTCTGCTTAAAAACCTCCATTGAGGGAGGCTCTGCCACCTCTCGTGGGAGTCCGTTCCGCGGTCGAGCAGCTTACTGTCAGAAACGGACATAACTGTCTGAAGACGTACTGTCTTCCCGACGCTTAGTCGGAATCTCCTTTCTGCGTGCAAGGCTACTGCAGCGATCCTGTCGCACAAATAAATAAAAAACCGGAGATGGAAGTAAAACACCACGGTGGCCTGTTGTTAATGGTCCCCCGCCCCCACTCACCCTTATAGTACATCTGAAAGGCGCCCGTGGCGGCTGCGGAATTGCGAAGCAGCCCCTGGAAAAGATCGGCGATCTTGTCCCGTATCGGCAGGTAGCGGGCAGGCGAGTCGAGGGCGAAGCGGCGGATCTCGCGAGTCACCTCCTCCTTGCCCAGCAGGTAGGCCTTCACCGTCATCGGAGCCATGGCGGCGGCAGCAGCTGGATCTAGTGGCGCAGCAAGAATTGGTTCACGCAGGAAGGCGGGAGGGAGGTCGGACCTGATCGCGACGACACCGCTCCGCGTGGCAGCCTCCTTTAACTCTGTCCTCGAGCCTGCTTTGCCTGCTGCTTGGCTGCTCGTCCCCGGGCTTCTTATAGGCGCTTTTGCAAAGAGGGCGGGCTTGAGCTGGGAAAGTCCCCACCCAGGGAGACAAGCAGGGGAGGAGCGGCAACAACAACAACAATAATAGCGGGGGCGTGCACGACCCTTGCGCTAAAAAGCTGCTTCTAGAATGAAAGGAGGCGGGGGGCAAAAGGGAGCGGGGTTGCAGCTCAGGAAGGAGATCACCAAGGACAGGGGAAGTGCCATTGGCAGTGGTATGATTTTTAAAGTGGGGAGGGGGAAGGCAAGTCAATTATCCTTTGTGCTCCTGGAGGTGGCGTCTCGTTTGCCTCCTCGTGAGCTAGGAGGAGGAGGTTTGATCTCCCCAACGCGGTTTAGCTCCCTTTGCAAAACCCGCGTGTAAGCATTACTCAGCACTTTCTTGCTCCGCGGCCTACAGAGAGAGAGGTGGGCGGAGGAAAGCAGGCAACAAGGCGAGGTTGTATTTTGAAGCGGGAGGTGGCAAAGGCGAGCAAAAAAAACACGCGAGACGTGGAACCTCCTCCTGCTGCCTCGCCCGCTCCGGTTCCTGCGCCCGGTGTGGTTTCGGATTGCTGACTCACTGTGTGCTGGATCTAATACATACGAGGCTGGGCGAGAGGAGGTAGGCCGCTGACAGCTTCCTGTCTCTCGTGCCCAGCCGGGGCTTAAAACGTTTGGCTGAAGTGTGGTAGGAGGTTGCTCAAGGTCGCTAACAAAAAGCCCCCTCAAGACTTGGTTTCTTTCTGAAGTGAAAGTGACGTTGAACCATATTAATTAAGGGTTATTGATTGCTCTTGTCACTGCAACACAAGGAAAGAACTGATCCCTCTTTAATGTCGCAGTTATGGCTCAGTATGAGTGCTTTAAAGCAGAAACACTATTCTTCACACACGCTGTCCGGATATGCTCCTTACATTTTTGTGCCATGTTAATTTAGGTATGTCTCCCATAACCTCAACCCGCGCATAGTGCCAATTTAAGCAACAAGAAGGTCCCTGCTGAAGGGAGCCACGGATCAACCGACCTACCTGCTTCCAGAAGCGGCCATTCAGTATATTTCTAGATGACATGAATGCAACACTTAGGATGCCCCACTAGTAGCCTCCCACCATGGGCATAGCCAGGATTTATTGGGCAGCAGGCATGATATTAGGGGGGCAGAACCGAGTTATCTGCAACAACACAATTGGTTAGTTTTTTATTTATTTGCTTGCTGGGGGGATACCCTTTAGGTAACCTGGCCCAAAAGCTCATGAGGGCTTTAAAGTTTAAATACCAACACTTTAAATTGGGGTTGGAAACAGGCTGGCAGCGAAGCAAGTGGCAAAGTACTGGCATAATATATTGACCAGTTCCAGTTAAGTATCTTACTGTTGTGTTTCGGAATTGCTGACATTTCTGGGCCATTTTCAAATGCCGCTGTATAATACTGTATAATACTGCAGCAATTGAAAAAGGAGCATGGATAACTAGCAAGGCTGTCTTAATCCCAATAGAGTCACATTTAGTATAACACCTGTGTGTCCAGAGACAGTAACCTGGTATTTTAGGGCAGCGGCAGGGAATATTAGACCCTGGGGCCAAATGTTGTTATTCACTCTTCTGTTTTTGGCCTTTGTGACTTTCTCCTGGTCACACCTCTCGCCTCTGTGAGCGCTTTTCCCTAGCTGGTCTGGACCGTGTCCTTTATCTTTGATTGTGGTTTTTTGCTTGCATGGATGGAGGACAGAGAGTTGTCTGTAGAAACCTTACTATAATGTTGCCTATTATACAAAGAAATGTAGAAATTATTCTGCCCACTTTTATTTCTAGCCACCCCCAGAAGGCTGCCCTGTTAAGAATGTAAACTGTTGGTCTGTAAAAGATTCCCTGGCCCTGCTTTAAAGGGGCTGCAACTCTCCAAACTATGTTGGGTCAGAACCATTTACTAACAGTATCTCTTGGAGTGGGGCAAGCTGGGGTAGGGTGCGCTGCGCGAAACCGGTGCCTGCATCGAGTCCGCTCCACCTGCCGCCTCCTTCCCCTCAGTTGCAGGTACTGTGCCACCTGAAAAGGCAGCATGGGACTCACATCCACCCACTGCACCACTGGTCTCAACCCCTCAGCTATGCTAGTGACCAGACCACATCTCTAGATAACTTGTCCCAGTGGTTTCATACAGATATTAAACAGTAAGTGGGATAAAATGGAACCCTGTGGAATTTTATACAGCCAAGAGGTATAGCAGTAATGCCCCAGCACCACTTCTTGGAATCTACCATCCAAGTAGGAGTGGAACCATTGCAACACAGTGTCTTCAGCACACAACCCAGACAGCTTCAGAGGTCCCTGGGAGGTCCAAGAAAACTAATAAGGTTGCATGAACCTGCCCTGCTCCTCTCTGGGCCAAGGTTGTGCTTCTAGGAAACCAAAGCAGTTGCCGTTCCAAAACCAGGCCTAAAGCCTGACTGAACATGCAACAGTTAAACTGAATGTTGGAGGGGAAACAAAAACCCCCACATACAGCAGTACTATCAAATTAACAGATTAATGCAGATGTTTTAATGTTGAAGTTGGTGGTAGTATTGAAATATAATTTTGTTCACCTGGGAGTGATTTACTCAGTCTTCTGTACTATCCAACAGCTTGATGGTTGGTTTTGATATTGGGGCTTGTCAGAACCGTTAAACCTATTTGCTGAAATAAAACAACATGATAACAATAGCAACATATGTTAACAGCTAAGAAAAAAATATTTATGCATTCTGGTCCTTCCCTTTAGGTAACTGACCCTCTTTTCCCCCTCACACGTTTGGAGCACGTGCAGTTCTGGAGCCTGAATCAGATAGCAGTGCAAATATTACTCACATCAGAGGTCACATTTTAGACTTCCCAAGGCTCTCGGCTGCAAAATATGTTGTTCAGATAATGGCTGGCATGCTTTTCAAGTTGGTTAGATAATGTGCAGTTTACAGAAGATGCCATCTGAATCTTCTAAGTAGCTGATGGTAGATAATTTTGAACAGGACTCCTTTTCAGTGTTAATAACCTTTCTCCTTAAGGGTCCACCGCTCAAATTTCTTCGCATTACAGAGTAGTAAAGTGATACATTGAGTGACAGGCAGCCCATTTCTAAGCCAATTGAAATGGCCAAATATATGCTTACCTAACTATGCATAAACTTTTAATTGTATTTACAGTGGTACCTCGCAAGACGAATGCATCGCAAGACGGAAAACTCGCAAGACGAAAGGGTTTTTTGTTTTTTGAGCTGCTTTGCAAGACGATTTTCCCTATGGGCTTGCTTCACAAGACGGAAACGTCTTGCAAGTTTGTTTCCTTTTTCTTAACACCGTTAATACAGTTGCGACTTGACTTCGAGGAGCAACTCATAGCACGCGGTGTACAGTGGTGCCCCGCAAGACGAAATTAATTCGTTCCGCAATTTTTGTCGTCTAGCGAATTTTTCGTCTTGCGAAGCACGGTTTCCCATAGGAATGCATTGAAAATCAATTAATGCGTTCCTAGGGAAACCGCTTGCCAGGCTGGCGGTGCGGAGAAGGGCTTTTCTCCCCACCGCAAGCCTTCAGCACAGGTACGGGAACAGAGGGGAAGGCGCGCAGCGCTTTCCCTCTGTTCCCGGGGCTTGCGTGGGAGGAGGGTTTTTCCTCCCCACCGCCAACATTCAGAACAGCATTCTGAATGTTGGCGGTGGGAAGGAAAACCCTTCTCCCACCCCAAGTCTTCAGGACAGCCATCCGAAGGCTGGCGCGGGGAGAAGGTCTCTCCGCCCCCCCCCCCACGCCAGGCTTCGGTGCATCCTTCAGAGGCTGCTGCCATAGTCACGCGTCACTTCTCCAGCTGGGAGAGGGTCGCGGGGCTATGGTTTCTTTAGCCCCGCGCGCGCTCTCCCGGCTGGAGAGGTGACGGGCGCCTATGGAGGTTCCTGCCATATGCGCGCGTCACAACTCCAGCTGGGAGAGGGTCGCGGGGGGCTGGTTTAGCCCCGCGCGCGCTCTCCTGGCTGGAGAGGTGACGGGCGCCTATGGAGGCTCCTGCCATAGGCGCGCGTCACTTCTCCAGCTGGGAGAGGGTCTCGGGGGGCTGGTTTAGCCCCGCGCGCGCTCTCCCGGCTGGAGAGGTGACGGGCGCCTATGGAGGCTCCTGCCATAGGCGCGCGTCACTTCTCCAGCTGGGAGAGGGTCGCGGGGGGCTGGTTTAGCCCTGCGCGCGCTCTCCTGGCTGGAGAGGTGACGGGCGCCTATGGAGGTTCCTATGGAGCTGTTCCTGGAACAGCTTTCCGAAGTGGGGCGGCTGGGGCAGATGTCCCCGCCCCCCCTCCCCGCTTCGGAACAGCTTTCCGAAGTGGGGCGGCTGGGGCAGGTGACCCCGCCCCCCCGCCCCACTTCGGAACAGCTGCAAAAGACGTCAGGGGGAAGCGGGGAAGCGAAGCGCTTCGCTTCCCGCTTCCCCCGGACCTCTTCTGAAGCAAGGGGCTGGGGGAGATCGCTATCTCCCCCATCCCCTTGCTTCAGAAGAGGTCCGGGGGAAGCGGGGAAGCGAAGCGCTTCGCTTCCCCGCTTCCTCCGACGTCTTTTGCAGCAAGGGGCTGCAGGGAGATCGCTATCTCCCCCCATCCCCTTGCTTCAGAAGAGGTCCGGGGGAAGCGGGGAAGCGAAGCGCTTCGCTTCCCCGCTTCCCCCGACGTCTTTTGCAGCAAGGGGCTGCAGGGAGATCGCTATCTCCCCCCAGCCCCTTGCTTCAGAAGAGGTCCGGGGGAAGCGGGGAAGCGAAGCGCTTCGCTTCCCCGCTTCCCCCGACGTCTTTTGCAGCAAGGGGCTGCAGGGAGATCGCTATCTCCCCCCAGCCCCTTGCTTCAGAAGAGGTCCGGGGGAAGCGGGGAAGCGAAGCGCTTCGCTTCCCCGCTTCCCCCGACGTCTTTTGCAGCAAGGGGCTGCAGGGAGATCGCTATCTCCCCCCAGCCCCTTGCTTCAGAAGAGGTCCGGGGGAAGCCGGGAAGCGAAGCGCTTCGCTTCCCCGCTTCCCCCGGACGTCTTTTGCAGCAAGGGGCTGCAGGGAGATCGCTATCTCCCCGCAGCCCCTTGCTTCAAAAGAGAAGACCCGCTGTCCCCGGGGCAAGCTTCGTTTTGCGAAGCAAGCCCATAGGGGAATTCGTCTTGCGAGGCAAAT